ACTGGCATAATCTGCTGTGTAAATCTGCAGCTTGGCCCTGTCTGGCTGCTGTCTGGGTTCCGTGCACTTGGACAAAAGCGACGGACACCTTGCCCACCGACAAAGGGCCTGGTCCTAATCAGAGTGGACAAGGCTTGCTGATGGAGCCTTTTTGAGCAATTGAACTTGGTCAATGATTCTTAGAGGACCTAATGAAACATAAGGGACAGGCAGTTTGACTCCAACAACGGGGGCAGCACCAATGTGTCCCCTTTCTGGCCATCAGATGAAGGACTGAAGTTGTGCTCTGACCCGTGATGACCTTGATAAAAGCACTTCTGGGTCTGAAATGTGAATATTCTGATGGTGTTGACCTTGTAGGCCACACAACTGATGTACATGCCTTGCCTTTCATTGTCACTGTGGAATTCAGTTTTTGGTCTTTGAAGAAAGAAATGCTCCTTTATGGCGCCGTTCTGTTGTTTTGTTTTCATCCTGGAACGTCACGAGACAGGGGAACAGGCCTCCGTGTGTCTCCAAAGCATTGAGGACATGCTGTTCTTCTTTGATACTACGAGGAAGGAGACTGGGTTCTTTTTAGAAAGCCCTCGGGAATGTGTATGGGAAAACCTGTGTGGGCTACTGGAATCTGCTCAAAGGGAAGAAGTACAGCACAAGTGCACAGCTTCACCACAGGAGAGAGGAACTGGTCTTTGTGATCAGAAATGGCGTGGAAATAGTGTGCATTGTTCACAGCCAAACACTTTTTTTGTTTTTCTGGTCTTGTGATTCACCTACAAGGCATTAGGCTCCATGACCCCTTCTAGCTGCCCAAAATGCCCACGCAGGTGCTTGACTCTGCATCTTATGTTCACGAAGCAAAACTTCAATAAAACAGCTCTTCAGTCATCTGATTATGTAGGCTATTAAACAAAAGTGTGACAAAATGTCTGTTATTTGATGTACAAAAAGTACGCCTACAATTTTGAACAACGTCCAAAACCAGAATTATTGCTAAGGAGGTTAAAATCAGGAAACAGTCTTGGTGTCATTGGTTTGTGGCGTTGAATAGAATAGAATAAAAAATACAAGTTAAAGACAACAGTATAGTACAGCAAGTATACCTCTGTGGCTAAGAAACCCAAATAAAGCGAAATAACAATAACATTTATCATACCAAACTGATCATCATGAAAAATGTCCAATATACGTATGTATTTTGTGTATGAAAAGAACTCTTGGGATTGCACTGAAAGTTAGAAATATTTTAAATATAACATAAAAAATATATAATATTAATGGCATAACGTCCAGATAAATGCCATTGTTTTGTTATATTCATATCAGCAAGGACGTATTATAAAGAGGCTTGAATTTTCGCTTTGCTTTTTGCACGGTTTGTCCCTCGCCTGGCTACGTACCTCACAGCATTGTTTCCATGGAGACAGAAGTATCATCGAGACGCGAAAAGACCTTTCCTGGTTTCTTGACTTGTAGTGCGGGTTATAAAACGTTAGCTAAGCCTTTTATAGCATGTTATAGACTATGTTTAGAGAGGGTATATTGTCAGACTAACAGCGTTTGTTGTTATGTTTGACGACAAACGTGTTTAATTGCTAATGAGTCGTTTTTAAAACCATGACGCATGCGGACGACATGTGTGACACAGTCATTCGGGAGATGAGTAATGTCGTAATTTGTGACGCCGATGAAACTACAGAAAAGCTGGAAAGTTTTTCAATGTACGGGGAGACGGTGAGTAGCCTAAAGTGTCCTGCAGAGCACTTTAATACTTAGATGAAAGTACAGGTGTTAACTTTTTCGCAGGTGATAGCCACTGACAGAAAGCTATAAGCTTGTTTTCAAGAAATGTATGACGTCATTAATGGGTCTAAGAGTAATTTTTTTTACAGGTTTGCTTTATGTCTTTTATTTTGTTTGTGTTAAAGATTCATGTTGAAACTGAATAAAAACGTAAATGGCATTTAATCTAATTTACAGTATTTTTAGTTTTTTTTATTAATGTCTCGAGTGTACGCTTCTGTATGTAAAAGAAGGAGACCAACACATTTAATTATATCATTCAAAAGTAGAGAAGTAAGATAATAAACAAGCATTTAAAAAGTGTTTAGTAAAAAAATGTTTAAATACAACAATACTCAATATGCACATGCATGTTCATTCATTACAGGATACAGATTAAGAGCACACATATAACATATTACGATATTATACATATACTTATCCAATTGCCTTGCACACAAACAACTGAGATTTAATATCCAGCACCAGACGTTTAGGTTCAAGGCTGATGTCAATAATTTTATTAATTTCATGATAGACTCAACTGAAGAGTAAATCCCAGGACGATACATAACACAAGCAGGTTAGATAATGGATGGAATATGTACAACGTGGGACCATTTCATGTCAATCAACAGAACTACCACAAGCTTGCTTTATTTATAATCATGACCATAAATGCTGTTGCTTGAATGTTTCTCAATGAAATCAGTTAGAATCATGATCATCTTTACATGTGTATTCTTAGAGCGTCATGAAACATTACCACACTTAAACATAAAGACACCATTGTGTTTAGGCCAAATTAACGCAAGCCATCTTTCTTACTTTAGGACCTCGAAGATATTCCGCTATCTCTGCTCAGCTACTTTGAGAGTTCAAAAAGTCGAGCGGTGGCGTGTGAAAAGCTCATCCTTGAAGAACCTGGAGGTATGTCATTCTGTGAAACAGCAAGCACACCATTAATCATCATTCTTCTAGAGGCTGCTTTGTTGTGGGATACAAGGACACCTACAAGGCGTTAGGCTCCATGACCTCTTCTAGCTGCTCAAAATGCCCACGCAGGTGCTGGACTCTGCAGCTTATGTTCCCAAGGAAAATGCTGATAAATTGCGTATCTAACTTGGCAATTGAATGTTTCTGTCAGTTTAATATTCTGTATTTCTAAATGTTCACTATAACAAGTCCTCTTGATGATGCCTGGTATGGTTATTTTCTGTGATGATGGATCATATCTGTGTTTTCCTTGTATTTAATCTTAGACTTTTTTGTATCACATCACACTGAGGACAAGAAAAATGTGTCTTCTGAACTAGATGAGGACATGATGAAACATGTTGAGCGGGTAACTGTCTCTCTTTTTACAGTCTATAGACTTAAGTCTATCACTGTATCACTCAAAAATAAATACGACCAAGTTTAGGTAATACAATTATTATTATTCTTTTTCCCTGAATCAGGTCGTTTGTGACCCAGAAATAGATGAGAACAGCTCTTCCACTGACATGCGCCTTCTTCATGCACCCACAGAGACAGAGGAACTTCTCACTCACAGTGTGTCAGTGTGTCCCAACAAAGAAGGTACATTACATGTTGACAAAAAATGAGGTGAAAATGGAGGAGCTGTGCACTGTGAATACAATAGTTTGAGAATATTCATCCACTGAAATTAGGTTAACTGAAAAAAGCACACACAAGGGACACATGGCTTTATATAGGCCATATTAGACAGATACAAAACATTTACAAACAATTTAATACATCTTTATTGGGGAAAAATAACAAAATTCAGGCAGTACTTGTAAAAAGCACTTGTCCGGTTACTTGAAAATGAAAATCACATTTTATGAGGAGCCTAGAAATTTGGTTCTAAATAAACTTTTGGACAGTATTCTGAATATTTTTTAATTCAATTTGAATCTGTTTTTCAATTTGATCCCATTAAACCTTTATTTAGCCACCTTAGTCTCATTGTTTTTCAAAGGAGACCTGGTCAACAACAAAAACACTCAAACTCATTCAAAACACATTAGATTTCAAGTAAAGTAATAATAAAATCATCAGACTAAACAGTTGCATAAAGGAATTTTGGATTCAAGACTTGTCACAAAGGATGTAAAAACATTCAGGGTAACTACGTTTTGCAGTTTTCAATCATACTGTGTAGATTGTTCCAAAGGGTGCAAAACAAGCTAAAAGCTTTCTTTCCCATCTCAGTTTGGACAAATTGCACAATGTCCAACAAACAAAGGTTGTTGAAAGTAAAAGAAAGGAAAGGTAGTCTTGCCCTAATGAAGATATACAGTACCAAAGTGCAAGCAGACATCTACTTAAATCAGTTTCAATTGACTTCAGATGATAAAGTACAATAATGAGTAAGAAATCCACAGTTTGGGATACATCTCTGTTCACTATGATCCAGACTGCACAGCATATGAAGACTCTGAGCAGAGGCATTCATGTACAATACATCACCATAATCTAGAACAGGTAAACAAATAAACCCTAACCCTGCCAGTTTATTTTCACATTATAGGTGTTTTTTTCTGTAGTAAAATCTGAGTAAAAACCTTAAACGTTCCCGCCTGACACTGAATATTCTCCCTGAAAGTAGCGCATGACATGTTTAACAGGTGGGATTCTTGTTGCTGCTGAAATGTATAATGCTTGTAATACAGCAGTTGCCCACAAGAGGTCACTTTTGTCTTATTTTTTTGTACCTATTAATGTCTGTAGTGTGGTACAGTAATGATGAAGAGGTACAACATCTCACTTTTGAACAGAAAAGACCAAAGGGTTACAATTTTACGGGTGCAGACCTTAAATTAAATTTCTTTAAGTCTTCTCATTTGTTAAAACTGTTATTGAGCTTCAACTTTTCAGCAATATGTCCTAATTACTAAACATCGTCTTTGAAAGATCCATCCTCATTAGATCCATAAATGTAATGTTTTGAAAGACATCGACTGATTCAGCACCACTGTAGTTTGAATGACATAAAGTATATTCCCAATGACCTGCCCAAGTGCTGCCTGAATCATTATGAGATCATATCTCGTTATGCATTATTTTGAAGTCAATTTATTTTTACTGCATAGTGTGCGATAGAAAAAATGCATGCACAATAAAGATAGTTTTTTTCCTCTGCCCTCTTTTTAGCTTACTACTACATAAAACTTATATATTCTTTTACTTGTCACAGGTGAGGCCGGGGCAGATATAGATAAGGAGGGTGAGAAGCATTCTGTGTTTGAAGAGAGGGCCCTTGAGATCTCACTAGATGAGGAGGAGAGCCTGAAAAGCAGTGGATACGAGGCAGAGCGAGATAAACTGCGCTGTGAGGAGGTTAAAAAGGAAGAGCAAAGGAGACAAATAGAAAATGACTTTCAAAGGGAGCTAAAGAAGATTATGGAAGCAGAGAAGGTGAGTCCCTCTGGATGGTCTTTACTTAACATGATAACTTCTGGTGATATCTTTCTAATATAATATTAGAAAGGTTTGTGTAATTGAACAAGAATGTTATGTTCAAAGATTTGACTCATGCTGCTGCTGTAAAAGGTTAAATAGAACCTTGTGCATCAAATGTGTCTAATGTTTGTTTCAGTTATGGAAACAGACAGCCTGAGGCATCTGCTGCCTTGCTCAAGTGCTCTAGCCTTTTCAGAATTAAAATCAGATTCAGATTTTTTTCAAGAAAAGGTGTGTGTGTGTGCGTTTACGTGAAAGAACAATTTCATAGAGGAAGAGAGACACAACTAAGCTTACTTAAGATGCTCTGAGCTAAGGATGTTGTGAGGGTCTTGTGCTGCCTTGCTCAAGTGCTCCCTCTAGCCTTTTCAAGAAATATTGTCTGTGCGCGCGTGTGCGTTAGAGAAAGAGAGACACCACAAGCTTATAAGAAGCTCTGAGCCAAGCTTGTTGTGTTGGTCTTTGTTTCATCTTTATGACAAATGTTTACTCATTTGTCATCATCACGGGGCACATGTCAGTGAGACATGTTCCCCGTGTGAAAAAACATCAAATTAAACAGAAATCAAGCTGTAATCAATGTCCAGATCATACAGCCGTTTTGCTTTCTTTCATTCTAATTTTGGCTCTCTGTTTCCAGCTCCATCAGAGGGAGCTCGAGCTGATGGAGAAGCAAGCTCAGGAAAAACTTGAACAGGAGTTGCTGCTTCAGCAGGTAGGCCTGAATCCCATTGTATCACTTCCCCCCGCATACTCAAGCCAAGGGATTGATGCTTAAGCGCTGGGACTCCCAAACAGGAATCATTCAAGTCATTATTTCATTTAAAACTAGAATGGGAAATTCCTGAAGAAATTTCAGTGTGAGCGCTACAAGAGCTGGCAGAGTTGGGAGCGGGAGCAACTCTACGATCACAGCCATGGCCTTGGCAGCCATCGCTACCACAGTCTGTTTGGCAGCTTTTTCCACTTCCAAGCAGCAGCTAACATTTTTGAAGTACTTGAGCACCACCTGTAGGTCAACTGTTGGTGATTGTTTTCACCACAGGAAAAAGTTTCCTTAATAAATGAGGTAGTCTGGAACTCTCGGGACTCGAACCCATATCATCAGATTACCCACTGGGCTACAGAGGAGGCAAGACACCATCAAACAATGCCACACTATGTGGCAGTGACAAAATACTGGAAAATCTTTGGTTTTTAGACCTTAGACTTGAAACACTTTTGTTTTCAAAATGTTAAACATAAATGTAAAAAATATAGAGAAGTGAACTTATACATTTTATACAACTTGCAGCAAACGAGTAATGCGCCTTGAACACAACATTTTTGATGACTGACCAGATGGTGGCGCTATAGGATCATTTATGAGTATGTTGAGCATCGTACAACCAGTAACCACATGGCCAAGTTTGAAGACTATAGCACTTTTAGTTTTTGAGATATCCGCTTTTTGATGACTGCCCAGATGGTGGCGCTATAGGATCATTTATGAGAATGTTGAGCATTTTACAAGCAACCACATGGCCAAGTTTGAATACTACAGTACTCTTAGATTTTGAGATATCAGCTTTTTAATATCTGCTACAGTTAATGTTTAACATTTACTGTAAAAAGTTCATTTAAAATCAGTGAAACATTTTAGTGTTGAGAAAAGCAAAAGCCCTCACAACACACATGAACTTAAGTCTGCGTGTTAGTGAGAAGCTTTTGTGTTTTCTCGGGAATTGAACCCAGTATCTTCGCTTATAGCATAACGCTAAATATCTCACCACATGGTGGCGCTATGAGTATCATATTTTAGTATGGTATGCATGTTGCCATTATGAACCATATTTTGAAGTTTGAATACCATAGTACTATTAGTTTGTGAGTTATGAGCTTTCAAAGTTGTCTCCTACAGGGTTCCATTCATTTTTTTTACAGTTTAAAATATTAACATTAAATCACTGGAACACTGTGCATCATGAACTGTAATGGCACACTTCTCTTCACCAATATTTACCATTTCCCGTTTGAACCATGTTTCTCGCACAATTTGTACAGGAGTAGATACCATCAAAAAAACAGAGGAATAATAACAATAATAATAATAAGTTATAAAAATATAGAGCGAAGATAACATTAGTGTGAGAGCTGCCAGCTCTCACATTAATAAAAGTATATAGGAAGAAACAAATGTCCTTTTAGGGGAGCTTCGCTGCCCTGAAATACCTGGTTGTTGTAATGTACATGCTTTAGCCCTTGAGGTCTTTGCGATTTACTTACATTTTATTTGTGTATTGTTTTAATTCTTACAATTAAATATCTTATTGAAGTGTTAGACCTTGAGTGCTTTAACTTTTTTTTTTATCACAGGAAGTGATCAGCAGCTTGCAAAGACGAGTGAAGGAAGAGAGGAGGAGGATGGAAGAGGAGCAGAAGAGACTGAAGGATGAGGAGGACAAGAAGAGAAGGGAAGAAGCGACAATCAAGATAGAGGCAGAGATGAGGAGAATGGAGGAGGAGAGAGTGAGGAAGGAAGAGGAAGAGAGACAAATAGAAGAGATGAGACTTAAAGAGGAGGAGAGGAAAAATGAGGAAGCGGAAAAGAGGAGAATGGAGAGAGAAGAGGAAAGGCTGCTGAATCTGGAAAAGAAAAAGCTATCAGATGAAATGAGATTGATGGAGGAAGAGGAGAGAAAAAAGAGAGTGGAGAGAGGGAGGATAAAGAGGAATGAAAAGAGGAAAATTGAGGAAGACCGGAAAAATATAGAAGAGGTCAGGAAGATGGAGAATAGAAAAAACGAGGACGAAGTGGTCCTGGAGAACAAGGACATAAATAAAATGCATGGGGAAAATTTAAAAATAGGGAAAGAAAAGCAAATAATGGAGGAGAAGAGGAAATTGAAGGAGGTGAGGAAAAGAAAAGAAGAGGAGGGTGAGATGGAGGCAGAAAGGAAAAGAATGGGGGAGGAGAGAAGGAGGATGATAGAAGAAGAGAGAAAAACAGAAGAGAAGAAACTTAGAAAAGAAGAGGAGGAGAGGAGAAATCAGGAAGAGGAAAGGAGGAGAATGGAAAGGGAAGAAGAGGAAAAGAGAGAAAAGGAAAAAAGCAAAATGAATTTGGAGTTGGAAGCTGAGTTGAGAATAATGGAGGAAGAAGAGAAGCAAAAGAAAAGGGAGCTAGAGAGAATAAAGATGGAGAAGGAGGAAAATGAGAGAGAAAGGGCTGAAGAGGCCAATAAGAGTCAAAAAGATGAAAATGAAATTATCCTGAACAATGAAGAGGAAGAGAGAAAAAACAGCGCCCAGGACAAAAATAATCAAGAGAAGAGGACGTGGGGTTCAGAAGAAAATGGAAATCAAGGAGCTGAAGGAAAAGCAGGGGGTGGGAAACAGAGAGAAGTGGAGGAAAGGCAGCAAACAGGGGAGACAGAGATGGAATGGAAAGAGATGGAGCAGAAAAAGGCAAGGAAAGAGGAAGGGGAGAAAAAAGAACAGAGACCAATCGTAGAGACTAAGAATAGGAAGAAAGACGATGAACGCAAAACAAAACCGGAAAAACAATGGAGGACGCAAGGGGACAAGGAGGATTACGAAGAGGAAGATACGGATAGGTTTAAAGGTTATGATGTGGACCAAAGAACGGTGGAAAACGAGAACGAAACAAAAGATGACAAGAGTAAGAGGGAAGAGGGGGAGCAAAAGCTAGAAACGGAGAAGAAAAATGTAAAGGTGGAGAAGGAGCAGATGGAGGAAAACAGTACCCATGTATACAAAGAAACAGAAGATGGAGTAAGATTGAGAGAAGAGGAGAACAATTTGAGAATAGTGGAGGAGGAGAAGGAGGTAAAAGTAGTAAAAGAAGATGAGCTACAAGAGAAAAAAGAAGATTACAACACAGCATTTCTTTATGAGAAAATGAATAAAGATACACCAGAAAGTTCCATTATCAGCAACACCTGGACTTCCTCAAGCCCTGGTCCTTCACACAGGGTGTCAACAATCAGCCCCATCACTACTGAAAGTGAACCCCAACAAAATGACTTAGACATCACCAGTCAGACCTCCACAGATAAAAAAGTGGACGACAAAAATCAAGTAGAAAGGCCTTCCTCTGTGTCTGCTTTTATACCGGTGTTCCTGCCAGAGCAGACAGAGCAGAAGAGGCTGTCCTGGATGAAGGAGTGCGTCCCCTGGTCACAACTCTCCCTGCAGAACAAAAGGAAGCAGAAAGGATCTTTCCGGAGTGTGAGAGGGCTGAGGAGGGCCGTCGAGGCCAGCGGTCTACCACCTCTCTGCCAAAACACTCTGCTTCAGACAGCAGGCTGGACATCCCTGAAAGAGGTAACTGCAAATCCTCTGATGTGATTCAAACGCACTGCCAATAAAATGTATAACGAGGTAGTTGTTTAAACACAGACATTAAAGTTTGGGAGTTTTGACCTGAGGCCACAAAACTCTCTGGTCATTCTCATGGCAATAAATGTTGTATTCTTTATCAAAATACTATTATTGAAGCAGAGGAATACTATCGATTAAAGTGAAACTCCAGCACCTCTCTGCCTCTTTTTCAGGTGACCACAGTGTCGCTGGAGGACTTGCCCGGCTGCAGCTTGTCCACTCTTTCTCAGTGTACTCAGCTTCAGTCCCTCACTCTCAGACGCTGCGGCCTCAAATCCTTAGAGAGCATCAACCAGTTATCAAAGCTCTGCTACATCGATGTACAGGTGGATATGAAATCTCAACTATATTAGTCTTAATGCAATTTTCTTAATCATTTTCAATGTTATAAAAAGATATGAATGTAATCTGCTGTGCAGCTATTAAAACCAGCACTACCAACGAACATATAAAAAAGAGTAATTTATGAATGAAATAGGCACTCTTAAAGAAAAAAAGACAGCTTTTAACAACGGTTTGGCTTAAAACAATACATAAGATACCAGGGATAAACTGGAAAAGGCCTTTCAATAATATCTGGTCTTCAAACAGAATAAAGTATGCAGAAAATTGAATTTTGAGGTCATACACAGCCGCGGATGTTCAACAGCAAATTCTTGGTCTCACTTTAGTTTTCAAACATATGCCGCCTGAGGATCTGAGGCTGGGTATTTCAGTGGTATATTCAGGGGCAGGCCATGAAGGGTTTAAAGTATCGTCATGAAGTAATATGTTTGTGTTGATCATGGTCCTTTAAGCTAATTTTCTTTATCTCTTTTATTTTAAAGCTTGAGGGTATCACTGGAGAAGTTTCAGTGTGTTCTAAGATATTCTTTTTTTTTTTTATCTGTACAGGAAAATGACATCTCATTTGTCGACTGTGAAAACATGACAAGTTTACGAGTTCTTAAACTTGGCCACAACAAGTTGACGTCCATCCATGGTTTAACTGGTGCTGAAAGTCTGGGCGTTCTGGAGCTCTCGCACAACTCCATCACCCGCATAGGTGAGGACTGGAAAATACATTACATGCTATATGAAACATAATTATTGGTATGAAGAATATTTACTTGTACCAAACCACAAGTGTTGATACCTTTCATTGAGGGTGTGAAGATGTTTTGTGGATGTGAAGCTTCACAAGCCTGAACTGCCGGCTAGTCTGCAATACTCCACAAGAGGGCAGCATCTCTCTTCTTTTCAGGCTTAGAAAATATTTGCTTCACGGCAAAATGACTTGAAAAGTGATTTATAACTTGAAGTCAGCCCTTAGGTTGAAGTCATAAAAAGTTATTGGCTAAACAAGAGGTTTAACACATTGATGTTTCCCTTCAGTTACTGGACGACTTGACTTTTTGACTCTCTTCTAAAACTGAAACGTTTTGGACTGCCTCTGTTCAAATTTTACAGAGGCTGTTAGACATGCCTTGTTTTCTGCTTTCATGCATCATGTTCAGCTGGTCTGGAGTCTTTGAGGAGGCTGCAGAGGTTGTCACTGGATCACAACCAGCTAATCAGCACCAAAGGACTGAAGGACGTGTACACTCTGCTCCACCTGAGCTGCTCACACAACCACCTGGTCAGGGCGGAGGGTCTGGAGAACAATGCTCTACTCAACACACTGGACCTGAGAACCAACAGCCTGACTGAGGTAAAACAGCTGATCACTGGAAGCATTGGCCCTGAATTTACAAGACCTCTATAGACATTTATTAGGATGTTTGAGGGAATAATTGGCTTTATCCTCAACAGGGGTCAATGTTGGTCTCAATGTCTGAGGTCAACATCATTATGCTTCTGTAGGGATTTAAATAAATTCCATGGAGCGATGAAGGGATTTCCCATTAAAAACAACAACATTTTAAAATTTCTCTGTGACCCTACAACTTCATGTCATGGCTTCTTACTGACCATTGCTACATTTGAAATGTAGCATCACATTTTCTTTCAGTTGAACATTATTTCACCTTTGTTCCACACAATTATGTGATGTAACAGGGGCTATGGCACATACATATTTCTCCCAGCATAAATTACACCTAGAGGTTACTTTTTTTATTTTAATGCATTGGCAATTTGCAGGTTGAAAAATGTTGCACTAGGACATGAAGGTCTTAGATATATCAAACTGAATACATTAAGGGCATTTGAAAGCAAAGAGGGAGTGAGAAAGTCAGCCAGCACAAAGAAGGTGTCCTTGCAAATCTTTACAAAATAAATTCAATTATTTTATTGGCGACATTTTATTAACAGGGGTTTAAATGTTTACCATCAGAATTATTTTCAAATAACAGTTTGAGAAGAAAAAGAGAAGTCAAATTACTGAAACTCATTGTTCTATTTTAAGAAAAGTCACTTTTTGTCAATGCTTGTCAAGGTAAAGCAAATTAAAAAAAAATTCATGCAAAAAAAAAAGTTAGTTCAACAAACTTAATTAGCATTGCAACTATGCATGTTTGGTGTTTTGTAAGACACCTTCAATTGCAGCAGATGTTTACTTGTGTCTGACACTGATGACTGTAAACACAGCAGCACTAAAACAAGTGACAGTGATGGATGAGGCCATTTCGGCTTCGCTGGACCAGGAGCAGCAGCAGCAGGGTAAAGTTAGTCTAACCTCTCAGTGTGACTGGTGTTAACTGTCATCTTCACCCCGTTTATCCATCAGCCTCCGAGTATAAACAACCACGTCCTCCTCCGAGAGCTGCATCTAGATGACAACAGCATCTCCTCCCTGCAGGACCTCAGTACCTGCTGGCTTCCCCTCATACAACATCTCTCTGTGGCCCAGAACAGGTACATATCCTCCAGTCCTACTTCATATCTGTTTTTACATACATCCTGTTTTCTGATCAAAAATACAAATAGAGAGGAGAAAACAATACATTTCTCCACTTTGAGTTGACCCTTTTATTAAGTATTTTTACAAAATAAAGGACATAATTAATTTTAGAGGACTCAAACAACTTAGACAACTTAAAAATCAGTCAGATAGTTTCAGACTGTTTTTGTGTTTAACAGCCACATGTATGTTGTTTTAAATAAAGATATCGCTCTCTGTTTTGTAGAATTATCCAGCTGCCCTCCATGTCTGATTTTGTGTCCCTTGCAAATCTTGATCTTCGATTCAACTGCTTGTCAGGTAACAGATTGACTTGATTTTACAGGCTGTTAAATCGAATTTCCTCATCATTAAAACGTACCAACTTTGACCATGCAGGACAAATTTAATTTCCTTTTTTCTTACTTAAATTTCCTGACTCTGATATTCTGCCTTGTGTAAAGCAATCATTAATTTTGGTTTGGAAGGGTTATTATGTTAATTAATATAATGTGAGACTCTCAGTTTGTAAGTATAAATGTACATGTATAAAACACAGTTTGAACCTGTTGGATTTTGAATTTATGGCAGCTGTTTGAGTACTTTGCACGACTCCATAGATATTGGATGCATTCAGAGAGTTCCCAAGTCTTTGGAGCACATCGCTATTAGTTTCATTTGGTTGATCGTTCATTTCATAACTAGAATTGACAATGGTGAAAATTAAAAATACTAAAAAATAGACATCGACAAGGCAAAAATGTTTTTCCTTTTTAGAGCTCCAGAATTTGTGCGAAAGTCTGGATGGCTGTCATATCCTGCAAGAGCTCCGACTCACAGGGAATCCTCTTCAGCAGGAGAGTTGCTGGAGGTAAGAGTAAGGCTATTGTGCTATATGCTTGGAGCTAAAGCATTGTTTTTCTCTTGGTTGTGCATCTGCTTGTAGATTGTTTTAGGCAGTTTTTAGCTGATTTAAATGCACCAGAAAGCCTCTGTTTTTCTGTTAGGCTGTTCACCTCCGACTTTAGCACTCGCTCCTCTGCAGCGAAAGCCTCTCAGCTTCAAATCAAGATAGTATAATAAGAAATTTCCGTATTTCTTTCTGGGACATTCTTTGGACAAAAGTTTCAGTTTCAGCCTCCTTTCCTCTGAAATATCACCCACTCACTGTGACGGATGTTCAAAGGAGTATACCAATGAAAAGCCTCCGTTTCTCTATCACAAATTTGGTCTATTGGCTGAGGTAGTCTAAACATTCCAGCAGAACGCAGGCCTTCCTGTCCACATCCCAGGATTAGCGCTGTGATCCGCGTCCGCTATTAGATTACTGCAACGTGCCACCGACACCCGTGTGTACGCACTTTGCACTAAGTGCCCGTAATTCCCCCAAATATTGATACAACAGAAAAATCAATTATCCTTTCAGTTCAATTTGCTCTTTCACTTATCATCCCCAAATATTTTACCGATGTTAGGACAGTTGCAGTGAGTTTATATGAAAAATATGCAATGACCACTTACAATTTTCATGCCTCTGTTGGCCTGTCATGAGCGATGATGTCAGTTGTTACCGGTTGGCTAAATTGTTTGGCTCCTCAGAGCTACTCACACCCAGTTAGTAACAGCAAAATATGAAAAACTATACTTTGCTCGCCCCTCCAAACATTCAGTAAGTGTTTTGGTTTGAAAATGTTTTCATGGCTTGTTTAGATACCTTCATCTATGCTTTTGAATTAGGGAGGATTTTATTTTTTGGACTTTAAAAAAAGAAGTGTTCACCTTTAAACATTTGAAATAATAATCGAGAAGAATTGAATATCAGCTAGACCCCTAGAGACACTTTAGTCTTATAGTGGCTGTGTGCGTTTTAAAGCGCTTACAGGTTGAATATATCTTTACCATTTTTTGTAAATTCTCTTTATACTTTGTAATTCTATATCACTAAAAAACATAGCTTAGTCCTAGACTTGTCTTAAGCCTTAGCTGAAACATATTTCATTGAACTTTATTTAACCTCTCAGTGCCAACAGTGGAATTAACCCTCTGTATTTCCACCCTCATGCCCTGGCCCTTTCATCCCGCGCCAGTGATAACACTGGCTAAATTAAAGCACCAAAAGGCAAGCGCTAAGACTTACACTCCCCGTAGGCTGCCCCTGATCCAGGAGACGTGGAAGAAGAAAACACTGGGCCTGATTAATCAGAGGCCACTGGAAGAGCATGTGTTTTGGAGGAAGTCTTCACTAAATGAAATACGGATTTGTGCTGGAGAAGGAGGATGGAGGAATGTGAGCACAGAACAGTGTTTCCCTCAGAAAGGAGGAGAGGCATTTATATCAATTTAGGAAAGGTTCAGGTTCAAGTCCAAGTATAGTCAATGTAGAAATAGATGCAAGGAGAATTAGTAAGAGAGATTAACGGCATCTAAATTGTGATGCTTTCACTTCTTCTGAGGAGTTATGAGGTTCATATATATAGTTCAGTTTAACACATGGTGTACCCCACAGAAACATGGATGTATGCTTCAGAAATATAATTAAAACAGCGTAGTCTAGACGGTATCACAGTAAAACCAGCAAAAATCTTCCTCTTCCTCATCCATCGCTAACGTCCACATAGATGCCATTTAATTCTTACGCACATACATAGGTCTACTCAGCTTTTCCCAAGTGTGTCAAAGTGGCGTCTATCCCTGAATTGAATTACTATCCCCACCTCAATGAGCTCATGTAACGATGCAAAGGTCCTATTTGGGTTTGGAGCTTCATATGAAGACAGCCAGCCTGCCAGACAACATGCCCGAAGGGTTGGAATCTAATCCCGATCTGTGTCGGAGAGACCAAGTGGGCCACATCAAAAACCCTCTGAGAAAACACAGATCCTGTCCTTCTTGTGGTCATGTCTTTCTCTCAGGTTGGCAGGCCAGTCTGGAGAACTCTGCATGCTATCAGAATACTATATGAACAATTTATATGGTTTTTAACCTCCTACAAGGGTAACAACATTTTTTATTACAATCCAAACCTGCATCAAAAAAACAAAAAAACACCTAAAGCACAGTCTATTTATGACATTGATATATGACTGTGTTTAATGACTTGTCTTAAGTGTTTATGGTCGGATCCACTTGACTCTTATTTAAAATAAGGGCTATATATTTAATAAACCAGCTCGATCCACACTTATAAATATAAATGGCTAGATGAAACACAACATTGTGATATATTTATCTATAGAAATACAGTATGAAATAAGAAAACAGAAATATCTACAAAAATAACACTTTATGAGCTGTTGAAATTCTCCCAACAGATATTTTATCCTCCTCTTGTGAGACTTGAGACAGCAGACAACTTTTAAGAGAATATGCAACTCTGGGAGTCAATTTAAAAAAGAAACCCAGTTGCTCAAAAGGTTTTTAAAAATTCTACTTAGTAGCCTGAAGGCTTGTATTTTTTTATTTTTTTCAACAGATTTTATAGTTGCTATTCCCCTGTGTCCTGTAGAGTTTCCAGCTCCACATTTTCCCACTGAACACAGACCACATTTGGCCTCCGCTGGTGGACGCTGTGAGTCTGTTTCTCTGGCAGATAGTTGGGATTCCTCTGCTTGGACATCCTTAGCCTCGGGCAGCCGTTACCTCTCCCCCACACTCACAAGCCATTCAGGGATCCCATCCAGTTTGAAAAGATTATTCTACAAACATTATTTGTCTTAGTTTTAATCCAAAGTGGCTGTGCGGCTAGTTTGTCAGAAAACAAAATGCTTTTAACTGTCTCAGTATATATTCAGACTTTTACACCAGATCCTAGTGTGCATCATTTATAGCAGCTGATAGAGGACAGCAAATTAACCAAATATTTCTAAATAGATTAGACGAATTATTCTAGAGGACAAATTATACAGTGTGCTCTGTCTGCTGAACAGCATGTACTATGAGTGGTACCCAAACAGTCTGAGTGGATAGATAGGCTTTTCTCCCTTTATCTTGACGTGAAGCATCCGAGCAACACAGCTTTGAATACAGCCGTTTAGAGAATGTGAAGTTTCTGCTGTAATACTGACATTACACATTTCTACCGAGTACCCCTCATTACACCGCTATTACTAGCTCTGTTGGCGGATCGAGGTGGAACACCATGGCCCCACATTTGCGCCTCTGTGCATTACACATTGCAGTAACATGGACAAAGATATCCTCATTAAACTGGTAATCTGTAAGCGCCATTTGGTTTACTTAAAGACAATGATACTCTTTAGTGTGAATGCTTTGTTTCAAGTTTCTTAGCCAGAACTCAAGTCTAATCTTCATTTATTTTTTTGTTTAATCTTGAATTTGAACTCTTTTTCAAATCTTTCTTCATGTCCTTCTGAAGGGTCTTTATTGTCATTAAATATATTGTTGTTCATACAATCTGTAAAACTCATCAAAAAGGTTGTAAGCACTGCAATGGTGTAAAGCATGTTTTGATTGCTTGATGATTTAGTACAATAGCTGCAGGAGTCATTTGAATAGACAGAGAAGACAGAGAAGCTTGCAGTGGCTTTTAAATTAGTAAATAAGCTACTGTTTTGAATAAATGTTCTGTTCACTTTATAATAACTAAAAAGTTGGGCTTGAAATAGAGGCCTCAATGGCCACAGATATCTGATCCTGTTTGTTCTCCTTTTCAGATCCACTCTCCAGAAAGCGTTGCCTGGTCTGAGGGCCTTCTATGACCAGGAGACAGACTCCTCTCCATCGCCCCCTACTGTTCAACAGGTCAGCTTGGCCTCAGACAGCTTCCTAGCGTTCTGTCAGGCTCAGCTTCAGCAGACTCATGATTTACAGAAGCAGCACAGCAGGGAGCTCAGGTAAGAGACAAATGACTGACTGCCTCTGTGGAGGTACTGTCATTGTGGGCTTTGGGTCTGTCAGTGATCAGCTGGATACGTGTTGGAGCTGTTATAGACTGAACAAGGCAAGCCAAGTTTATTTATAGAGCACTACTCTTGTATAAAGCAATTCAAAGTGATTTAAGTGTGTACCGTGATGAAACAACCTGGTGACATGTGATCCCAAAAAAGGATTCTAACACACTAAAATAATCAGGGGCAAACAGCAGTCACATTGAATAAAGTTTAAATAACTTATTACACCTTTCATCTTATGCTGATCAGCCTTTCAGAGAGTCAGACATGCTGTCAGGAATGTTAGCTATCCTCCTGTTATGTCTGATACATAGGGCGTAGTGAGCCTTAAGACAACGTCCATCTATTTTCACAACTCCTTCGATGTCACCGGCCTCCACACACATTGACACCTCTGTGCACGGCGGACCACCAACACTTAAAACAGTGGTCAGCTTTCTGCTTATCTTCATGACCCTTCCAAATTACACCGCACAAAAGATGAAACGTGGCTGCGGCTACCAGAGCGGGTCACACTGAGGACTCCTATGGCTTAGGGGTAGCTTGGCGCTCCTTTTGCTTCACCCCTAACTGTGTGCCCTCTACCCCCCTGGCCTCTGGACAATGAGCCATTCTGGGGGCTTTGCAAGGACCGACACAGCCATTTAACCCCCGGCCTGACCTCGTGTCTGACTGGGGTGTAGAGGAGGTGAGCAGAGTGCCACACGTCAGTCCACTGCAGACTGTGAGGTGGGGAACCATGGGGTTTGTCAGTCGTATGGTTTCACAACTTTTCTCCACGGGGTGTGGGGTGGAGGCTAGAATCTCTGTTTCATACAAAATGCCCCTGTTTTATACTTACCAGACAACATGTCTAGCTGCTGTTTATCTTCTTTATTTTTGCGACATGGCAACAAGTTAGAAAAAAAATCAGTCATAGAGCAATTAGTCCTAGAACCTTGTCCTCATTGTGTCAAGGATGACTCGGATAGAGTTGTTAACTTAGTTTTGTCTAGAGTCGTTACCACCCCCAGTCGTCTGTGGGTCGATGGAGTCACATGTTCCAAGGTGGGACTGGGAATTCTGTTGTATTGGGGGAGAATTCAAAACACCATTGTAGGTTGGTGAAAGATGGTGTCTCGGACCACCACCTCGGCTAAGAGATGGTTTTTCACCTTGACATGGCGTTTTTAACAACCCTTTCAAACCAATGGTCTTCCCTGTCCCATATATGACAGATATGCAGATATGGTGGTCTGAGAAACACCATCTTTCACCAACCTACAATGCTTTTTGAATTCTCTCTCAAAACAACTGAAGCGCCAGTCCCACCTTGGAACATGTGACTCCAACGACCCACAGATGACTGGGGGTGGTAATGACTCTAGGTGAAACTAAGTTAACGACTCTGATGTAAGTAATCCTTGACCATTAGCATGCTAATGATCCACAGAGGCTTACATTTCTAGCTCCGTCCACCAGAAAGTTCAGCAATGAAGAAGCCTTTCGGAGGACAGGTGAAACGTCTTCAAGATCTTCAACCAGTCCAGTTGACTTTGGATAAAGCTTCGAATTCACCATAACCTGGATGACTGAGAACCTACACAGACATCATGGAATTTAATGAAGGAAGTAACGGCGTCTACAGAGCCATTGGGGTCTTGTTCGACACTCCCATTTATGAACATGCACTGCAGATCTGCTGGCACATCCAGTCCTATAAAGTCAAGATCGCAATGGTGGCTGAATTTTTACATCTTCAGCAGAAGAACGAGCTTCCAGCTGAGGTTACTGTTAAAGACATGACTGACCTTCTATTGATGGAGAGTAAGAAGTCTCTCAGAGGTGCAGCTCTGGGAGTTTGAGTTGGAGGATTTTGATGATGTGGACATCAGGTCTCTTCTTAAACTGGTGTGGGAGGTGAACACCAGTTTCCAGATGAGAGATGTTGAGTTTGAAGCAAGAAGATTGCTTGACTCACCAGAAAAGTTTCCATCCTCCTTTCAACATCCTAGGATCATCAGCCAGGCGCATGAATATTGCAGGATCCTGGAAGAACAGCGACATGAGGTTCCCATTTCCAAACAGTTGGGCCCGCAAGGGGTGGTGATAGATGTGGTTCCCAAAGTCCTGCAGGACTTATGGGTCCGTCCTAGAACCACCTCCTGGGAAATGCCCTCCAAGCAGCTATGTAAAATGGCTGTAGGAGTCACAAAGGCAGTTCTTGATCGGGTGTCCGCTGCTCTGTCAACCAAGCTACGAGAGGTCTCCTTTTCTCGATCCATGAGAGACGACATGGTCCTCTCTGTCACAGGAAAGGTGAGACAGACGTTCTCTCCAGACATCCTGAAGAAGAAGAAGAACCGTTTTGAATCAGAGTTACTGAACACCATCACTGATGTTGTAGTGGGGGCACATCTGTGGGCTGTTTGAGCGAGCCTCAAGCTCAAATGGACAAACCTGCTGATGGATACCATGCCATCTTGGGTACCATCTATAACTGCCAGCTGAAGCTACAGTTTCAGTCCTGAAGGATAAAGTGATGAATGTTCAACCCAGCGAGGAACCAGATTCTACTGATGTGACTACTGCTGAACATCCTACCAACATTTGCATGGATGAACAAGCAAATAAGATGATTTCTTGTCCCATAACCCTGCCAGCTGCAGCTTGAGCTAATTATTAAAAACTTCAGTTGATTATTTAACTTTCATTAAACTGTTAAAAATGTTCAATGTCACCAAAATGGTGATCTCATCAAAACAATACATTAATTGTTCATTGTAGTCAGTCTGCATCCGCCTATTTTCTCTTTAGATATTGTGAATTAAGACATTCATTGGTGAATTATTTTTTTTGAAAGACAGAGCCTGCATATTGTGAAACGCAATGTCTGACATCTACTGTAACATATTATTTTTTACTGTAACACACATTCTTTCCAGACATTTACTGTAACATAACAAAACAAATACTTATCTTATGATTGTTGGATGCACAACACTACCAACAACTTCTCTACTCTAACAATTGTGAACAGATGAATTTGCCCACCATCTCTTTCAGTGGCGTCATGTTAAGAAAAAACTCTTTGTGGCCAGTACTGAATGAAGAAACTATGATAGAAACCCATTCAATTCATTCTGTACAGAATACATTGATGTTTGTCAGTCAATGTCACCATTAGCTATTGCAGCTAAAACTTCTTTTGTAATAAATGTACCGTATGTAACCATAGCAAGTGCTGATGTCCAAATTTCCTGAAATATAAAAAATAAACGACAATGGCTTGTAATTCTTCTTTCGCTTGAAGCTTTAACAGTGTTAAACATTTTTCTTCCACCCTACCCCTGCTCTCTTTTATCAGTGGTATACATGTTGATAGTGACCCTGGAGTGAACCAGCAGGTACTGGTGGCTGGGGTCAGCAGGGTCACAATCCTTTTGGACCTCCCGACTCCTCTCTCTCTTGTCCCACTGAGACTGATGAGCCGCGTCTTTGTAGAGAAGAGGCTGTATCTCCGGACTGGCTGAGTACTGAAGCGTATCTGCCCCCTCGGGGTTTAGGAAAGGGGGAGGGGGCAGAGCATTGCTAATAGATTCATTAAGTTTCCATTGAGGTGGCTTTGTAGTCACTTTATCCCCTCAATGAAAGAGACATTATATGGTATTGGCAGACAGACAGACACACACACACACACACACACACACACACACACACACACACACACACACACACACACACACACACACTCAGTTCATCGATATCACCTCAGATGAACTGGTCATCATTAAAGTAAATTAATAAAATAAAAAAGTAGGTATAAATGAATTATTCAACAGTATTATCTAAACCTGATTACCCTACAACTCGTGATTATTGTTAGAATTGCAGCTGCTTCCATTTAGTTTGTTTACATTGCATAACACTACAATTTATTTGAAATTGTTTAGTGTTTACTTGAGGCATGGTTAGCTAATGAAATATTCTTTGGTGTGTTTGTTGATGAAACCGAAGATTTTCTAAAAAGTGGAAGTCTGTTTTTTGGGAGACAACAAGAGACAAACAAATAAAGGAGGAAAGTAGTGGATGATCAGCTGGAGGGAATGTTAGATGAGGCTGAATGCTTTGGTGAACAGGTGGTGTTTGAGGAGGCTTTTAAAAATGACCAGAGATGCAGCAGTGCAGATTTCGGCAGGGAGAGAGTTCCAGAGGGTGGAGGCTGAGGCACTGAAGGACCGCAACTGTCGGGACGGGGTGTAGGGATGGAGGAGGTCGGTAAGGTACGGTGGTGCTAGACCATAGAGAGATTTGTAGGTGAGTAGGAGGAGTTTATTATGAATGCGGGACTTGAAAGTAACATAAAAACTTTTTAAAATGTAGTCCTCAGCCTACAAACTAATTTAACACTCAAGGACTAGTGACTTGGATAATACCATAAATATAACAAATAATTACAAAAAACAAATATCACTGCAAAATGTAACGATTTCCCTTTCAAAAGATTATTAGTTAAGAATTTAATTTGATATGAAAAAAGGAGAGAGACTGTCTCCTTCAAAAACATCTTTAAGACATGACAAAAGTTAACCTCTGGTACCCTGAGCAGCCCAGTCAGTAGGATTAGAGATAAAACTAATATTTGCATGATTGCATTTAACAATGCAAGCTTTTTAATGTTCTTCATACACATCTACTGTTGCATTTTGAAAATAGATACAATCATTATGTCTTATACCCTTGGTTCTTACCTGGTAGTTTGGGACACAAAAGTGGGTTATGGAACCCTTTTCAGCGGGTCGTCGATGTGTTCCAGGGGAAAATACTTTATGCTGTGCCTTATTTATAACTCTCCCACACGGTAGATGGTGGAAATGCACCTCAAGGCTGTTTGCCACTCTTAATAAACAACAAAAGGAGGATGAGGAAGAATTGTAAAGTTAGTTATGTAACTATGACAATGAACTCATTAACATGGGTTTTCTTACATTGGGGGACAGAGAGGGTAAAAAAAACGCAGTGCTATGTGCAGCAAAGTGCCAGCCCATGAAAGAATGAAACCATAAAATACAGTATGCACTATTTTTCATAAAATATATTTCATTTGTTGAAAAAAAGAGGTGTACTGGGTTCCTGAAGCTAGGCCATTTGAGAACCTGTTTTAAACCATATCACAAAATGTATAAAAGCTAATTGGTGTTGCTGTAAAGGTTTCAGCTTCCTTCACTAAAAAGGAGACTGTCTCAGGTCCCAGTTAATGATTGTGTAGAGACTATTTTTGTGCTAAAGACTATTTTTTTTCTGTGTGTGTGTGTGTCTGTTATTTGGTGTTTGTCACAGGCCCTTTAGTCTGACTGAGACCATCACTGATCTACAATACATGCAAACATTCTTAAACATATTTTTTCTTCACAGTAAAGCCTCATCTCCTCTGGATGCTCTAAAGACCTCCTGCCGACATTTCACAGAGGCCCTGCAGCTTGCAGAAGACCAGAGATTCGCCCATGAATATGGTGACACAACAGTGTCAGACAGACACAAGGCTGGAGGCCCAACAACACCTGAGGAGACAACTGATATGGGCCCTATCAGTGCTGAGAAGCATACAGAACCAACGGAGATGGAGGCTACTGACAAAGCTCCAGCAGTTATTCCGAACAGAGACAATATCAGATGCAGCTACTGGACTTTGGAGGCGAAGTCCGTTGCAAAGATTCAAGATTCATCGGACTGTGTTACAGCAGGCGTGAAGATGGGGTTGAATGCTAATATAGCTAACTCTGACAGTGAGCACACAGTGACAACAAAGTCAAAAAGTAGGATTTCCTCTGATTTCGAAGTGGCAGCTGTGTCCAACCATCAAGACCTGGAGCTCCAAAGGTAATTTACAAAATGTTCTAAGTTGACAGTATTTACTTGTTTGATTCTTTCTTAAAATTATACACCATTGACAACAGATCAGTGACATTAGCTGATGTATTGTTTGTATAGAAAGCCTCCATATTATTTCACAGAACACACGACTGGACACTACTGGCTTCAAGCCTCGTTCTTTCTTCATATGATTCTGTTTTATATTGGCTCTGCATTTTATTAGTTTCTGCTGCAGAACATTTGTCATCATTGGAACCTCCTCTATGTGATTTACAGCAGAATATGTTGAACATCTTATTCATTTTAACACACAGCTTCATCATTAACACTGCACTATCTTTGGGAGGACTATACATCTTTCATATGAAGGGTGGCTCTGGCAGGCTTTTAACTCCCCAGAGCCCTGCTCTCCAGATGTCGGCTCAGAAATACATTTTTTGTTTTTGAAAGACGAAGGTGCTGTGACATCATGTAAATCCCTCACTCTATGTGTGTTCTTTCTTGAGCAGCAAAGCAGCAGTCTTGATTCAGCAGATGTGGAGGAAATACAGGAAATGTTGGAACATCAGCAGCCCTTCCACAGCTGAGAAGCGAGAAGGACAAGGAGAAGGAGGAGGAGGAGAAAAGCCAGAGTCAGGACCTTCTGTTATTACCAGGAGCGTTAATGGCCAAGATTATGCAGCAACTGTCATCCAGGTAAAACTGTCTGAATTAGTAAACAGATTGTGCGCTCCTTTTTTATTGGCTTTACTGGAGTTTAAGTGCAATAAGTCGACAGTTTTCTAATGTTGGTGGTTGGTCTTGTTACATATGGGCGCTATAGAAATCATACCCCAATATACTCCACCAGACATGATCTCTCTGGTGCTATTTTGAAAGGATACTATCACATTGCACATGGAGAAAAAATTAACAACTTCCACATGTGAAATAAGATGGCTATATCTAAAACCAAATGTCCTAACCCTGACCCTAACTCCCTGTAAAGTAAATTTCAATATACATGCACAAAACAACATACCCACAGAGCATGAGCATACCTCCCACTCTTCTAATCTCTGCAGCTTGTTTGAATGCAACCTAGATTAGTTCTAAAGATACAAATTAAGAGCACCCACATACGCAATGCATAATAATAATAATAATATATTTAATTTTATATAGTGCCTTTCAAGGAACCCAAGGATGCTTTATATGGTGGAGGGACCAAACAAATAACAAAACAGTTAACCTTCATGTTTTGCAAATTATGGACCATCCCAATTGAGTTAATCTGTCCAAGTAGAATACACAAATTAGATAAAACAATTCTTTGCATATTGGTTAATCCTGAAGTTTATTTAAGGTCTGTAAATCTACACATAATATTTACAATTTTACATACCTTTAGAAGGTGGGCCTCAATCTTTCTTTACATTCTCTCCTCAGAAGATAAAACAATTCTCTCCTGACTCACGCCAGTAATAACTGAGCTAATTATTATTTGTATTATTAAAAATAGTTAAGAAAAGGAACACAAATAGCAAGCAGATAGCTTTGCTAGTTTCAGAGCACAGTGTACCCTGCATTGACTCTACAAGAGATTTTTTTGAAAATTAAAAAAATGCTTTTTTGTTCAATTGCCCATGATCCTAAAGAAATATGTGTATGCAAACTTATCATTGTTTTATGAATAGAAAGAAATTTACATTCTTACATTAAAGAGACAAAAACAGCAAAGGTTTGGAATTCTTTGCTTAATAATCAATCTGCATCAGAACTCTCAAACGCTCTCCAAGCCCTTTTTTAGATTGTCCGTTTAAAGTGTGTTATGTATGACCCTGTGACGTCTCTGTGTGCGTGGGTGCATGTGTGTGTGTGTGTGTGTGTGTGTGTGTGTGTGTGTGTGTGTGTGTGTGTGTGTTTGTGTGTGTGTAGGTGCATGCCTGAGTGTGTGTGTAAATTGAGGCCCCCCTGTTTTTCTACACATCGGGCTTTCGGGATTCGATATGAATGTACAAAGATGCACTGACGGATGAGCTTCGTAGTGGCACTGTTGCAGAATGGTGATCTAAAAGAGGATCTAGTTGAGCAGACTTGTTTAGCATGAACAAGAGACCGCATTTTAACCTGTCAATATGTAATAGAGGACGTTACTGCTAAAATTAGAATTATTCAATATTATGGCTGAAGACTGGAGTTACTTTCACATTGTGGATATCTGTAAATGTACTTTGTCACCCCTGATCATCCATCTCAGGGCCTCATACGTGCTGTGGAGGCTTATTGGCTTAATTCTCTGCATACACTGTAGGTGTAGGCTGCTGTTCTGAAAAACATGCTACTCAACACTTCTCCCAAATCCCTTTTCAACACAAAAAGTGTTTGATGATCCTCTTGGGCTCTCTAAGGCAGGAGGTGGGGGTTCTGGTGTAGTGGGATAGTGTGTGTGTGTGTGTGTGTGTTGGGGGGATACAGAGTGATTAATCAGATTCCAAAGAAGTGCGGTAGTAAGAGTTGTAGGATTCCTGCTCTGCTCAACTTGAAGTGAAGTGTGCCCCCCCAAGCCCATTGGGAATTGTAGGATTTAGAGGCACAATGGAGCTCCATTTGTCTCTGAACAGGCTGGAGTCACACAGAGTTCAGACAGCAGAACACTCAGCAATTAAAAGAGAGGTTAACATGTTTTATCTCCCTAATGGGATAACACACAATATTTACGTTTGCCCTGTGATTCATGAGAGGTTTTCTACCATTTCTTCTCTGTTTACCTCCAGGCTGTTTGGAGGGGCTTCACTCTGAGGAGGAGGCTCACATCTGCTCTGGCTGCCGTCACATGCACGAACACAGGAGAGGACGACACCTTCGAGGAGGTGGATGTGGATGAATTTGTTTTTGATGAGGTATGCACACAAGTTCATGAGCTCCTCGTGCTCACTTTCATGATTCAGTGATTGCTTACCCCTCAACCCTATCAGACACAAACCTGCACAGAATGCGATATATTTTGAACAATATGGTGGCGCAGTGGTTAATGGCGCGCCCAATATATGGAGGCTGTAGTCCTTCAAGCGGGTGGCCCGGGTTCGAATCCGACCTGTGGCTCCTTTCTGTATGTCATTCCCAACTCTTTCTCGCCCTGATTTCCGACTCTATCTACTGTCCTTTCTCTCCAGTAAAGGCAAAAATAAATATAAAAAAAAAACAACAACAACATGAATTCATAAATATATAATCCTAACATTATCTCCATACTCACAACATCAAGCACACATATGCAAGGATACATTAGCTTGAACTCCTACAGTCTGTCTGCACAAGTAACAATGTTTCCAATTCTTCCTGGTTATGTTTTACGTTGTGTTACCCTTATCCACTGTTTTCTCTGCAAGACTGAGTTTCTGAACTTTGGTGCTAACAATCTTAGTTCTCAGTTCTTTAACCTGTGGATAGAAAACATGCAGCAACCTCCAGTGTTGAAAAAGCTAATGAGAAAGTGAAAAAAAAATGCAGTTCCTCAAGTGTCCACTTGAAGCTGGCTGCAAATGCCAAGGACATGTTTACATTTTTAAAGCAGAAATAAACATGTTTACAGCCTAGAGCAGAAACAGTTTTACTTAATTCTTTATTGGTAAATATCGGAGGGGGCTGAACATTTTTACAGCTTATCTGTGGAGTATATTAAGGCTAAGAATGATTCATACATTAGCCTAAGTAGAGGCGGGCAGAGTTAACTGGTGGGTGCGTAGTAGCTGTTTGCTATGAGGCTTAAGCCCCGCCTCAGCTCCGGTCTACTTATTTGCCTGTGTCTAGACTGATTGAAAGATAGCATTACAATATGGCAACCATCCTCATTGCGCTTCGTAACACCTCTTCAGAAAACATTGGGTGACGTCACTGAGACTACATCCATGTTTCATACAGTAACAACTCCCACCACAAGGCAACTCTGAGGCATTCTTCTGTTTTGTTTGTGAGGAGATGAAATGACAAGTAAGACTTTCTTTCTCTGCCAGCGTGGGTGGGATATAATTGTGCCACGTCTCCATCCAAGGCCCAACAATGACACACATAAACTAACCTATAGATACACACCTATTCACAAAAAATAAACATCTCTGCAAATATTTAGGAGCTCTAATGTAACCTCATCCTGACAATGAAGAACTCACTTTCCTATATCATATACACTGAGGTACATATATTAAAGAGAATATATTGGATGTGGTTCCATATACATTTTTCTTGTTTGATTTTCACCTCTTTGTGTCCACAATTACATTGAGATTAAAAAAAAACTATGTTTTCATTTTAAAAAAGGCAGCACTGGAGAAACACTGGACAACGCTTTATGAAGACCCACCTCCCAGATGTTACAATGAATCAGAGCAGCAGCTGTCTCTTAAGGTAAAACAAATATTCAAGGACAATATGTAATCCTTGTAAACCTACCTGGCTGTTAGTTAAAGTTGCCAGAGATCTGGAATCACCATTCCCTGTATGATGTTAAATAGTTATTTTCTCGCCTTATCCCTCTCTCATCTTAGATATTGCCCCCCCACCAGGATTGTTCTCACCCTCCCTGGTTGATCTTTAAATGTATTCTTTTAGAAAACAAGATTATTTCCTGGAGGGCTGAAGGTTGCTCTGCACCAGCAGATGTCATATTTCATGCAAGCGGACTGTTGTGTGTTTTTTCCCCCCCTCATTTACCTCTCGTTGGATCTTTTCTTTGGAGCGTGCTCAGGGCTGTACATCATGGTAGCTGCTTTAGGCCAGCTGATGTGATGCAGCTGCTGTCGTGGCCAGCTTCAGTGTGTTGACACTGAGGTACACATCAAAGTCGGGAATGTAGAATTTAGAGCTTCCGCAGAGAGAAAATGGGATCTTGAGGGTAATTAAGCTGTTAGTTAGACTTAAATATAAGCATTCCTAGAGTGTATAAACTTGCTGTGGTTAACAGTGTCAGCCACATACCTCAAAAGAAAACACAAAGTAGATTTAGATGTGACTTGACATCTATACATTTTATACATTGTTTTCTATTTTCCCTGTACTAAGTGTTTATTTTATTTTTCCATTTGAAGATCAAGCATAAAACCTTCTGTAAGCACCTCAATTAAGGATTAATCTTTTACTCAAGCGAAGGAAAAGTTACTTGTACATGTCAACTGTTTTGAAATATGTTTTAAATTTGGATTTGATTGATAAATTGAAGCTAATATATGAAGACTAGCTTCTTTATATATATTTTGTATAATATGTAAGCTTTTAGATATCAATTCAGGGTGATGTAAAAAAAGATTTACATTTCTGGTGATATTGGTACATGTAGGTATTTCCGCCTCCTGGGACCTTTCCTGAAGCCTCCCAGCACATACTCCCTCCACCGCTTGTACGGAGGTCAAAGCAGGCCTGGGTGGATGAAGAACAGGTGGTTTCAGCTGAACAGAGAATTTCCCCTGTGAGCTCCACCAGGTAGGTGCATCCATACAATTATGTTAAATCTGGCCTTAAGTTGATAGCATGAAAACTTTTAGTTTAGTTTATTTGCACATTACTAAAAAAAAGACAACAGAAAGTAATACAAGTTAAACAATTGTGCAAAGGTGGTTAGATGCCAGAAAAAGTCTCATGAAGATGCCCCCCCCTCTGAGAATGACAGGAGTTACAGTCTGTAGGAATGTAGATACAATGACATAGAGGTGTCTCTTTAAATGATATAATGCACTACAATAAAATCTGAGAAGTGTGAGGTAGTTTGTTTCAAAGACATGTGCCTCTGTATTTTAATGTGTCAAGTCAAGTCAAGTCAACTTTATTTATATAGCACATTTATAACAGCCAAGGTGGACCAAAGTGCTGTACAGTAAATTAGGCAAAATACATTACATCCAAAACATCACATCAATAATGTGCATTGATTAAGAAAGCTTTGAAATCAAAAACTTCAATAGATACTTAAGTATTGTAGAGAAAAAGGAGAGGAGGGCGTGAATGATTGGTCAATGAGGTCAAAGTAGATGTTAAAGAAAAAAGTGGACTGGATGCTCTTACACACAAGTGGAGGAAATCAGGCACTCTAAACATGAAAAAATGTAAAAATGAAGAAGGAAATACTTAAAGGCAGTTATTATAACGGCTAAATCGTTTAGAAAGCCAAAATGTTTTGACCATATTTCATTAACTGTATCCGTCATGGTCAAGATGGGTTTCATTTCCACATCAGTCACAGCCCATCTTGGAACTGAGAAATTACCAGATGCTGTTTTGTTACTCCTATATGGTGCATGTATATATACTGGTGTAAACATTAGTGTATGTATATCATACCTTTTGCTAACTCCATTTAAAAAAGGCTGACTCACACCTTTCAAATGGTGAATTTCAGTTTCTTACGTCTGGACGCAGCCAAATCTACCTACGGGTACAAAAAAAGTAACCTTAGCATACAATATGCACATATCATGAAAAAACAACTTATACAGTGCTGCTGTGACTGTTATATACAATACAGCCCATATGATGCCACATCAATATGTTTTTGTAAAATAATTTCAGAAGTAAATCTCCTGCCTCAACACCATTGCTCAACGGTCTCACCGAGAGATCGGAAAAGATTCTTGAAGAATGGTAAATCATGTTTTCTTTCTCTTCTTTATGAAGTCTTTGTGATCAATTTTACTATTTTTTTGTATTGCCGTGTGTGTGTGTGGTTTTTTTTTTGTTATGTTTTCATGTAGAATAGTCAGTGAGATAGTTTCATCTTGTTTTCTGTAGGGGCTTCACTCACAGCCACACAGCTCTTCTGATGCTGAAAAGGGCTCAGAAGATGAAGTCAAAGAAGCAACAGCAAAAGAAAAGTGAGTATCTGAACATGAAGAATTGTATACGTAATAATGTCTTGCATGTGCCTCTTTTCTTGTGTGCACAATATTACGGCTTAAATCAAAACATTCTGATATATATTGTTAACAAAAGTATTAACATTATGAAAGCAGACATAGTGGGATGCTCTCATGGTTTCTTTCTTAAATATTTTCAACAGCACAGACCGCTCTGTAAAGACATAAATCCTATTTAAAAAAAGGGACATGTCTACTGTAATTATTGCTTCCTGTCTTTGTTCTTCACCCTTGCTTCAACAGCAGCAAACATTTCCACCCTGTGTATGCTAATGAGCCATAACAGACAGCAGAAGCCCAGGCCCGTCGCCTCTTATTGGACCTTATTTGAAATCCTGAAATAACGGTTGCCAAGAAACCTCTTGACAAGTCATCCCGTGATGATTTTCATTACCATTCATTGTAGTGGTTGAGTGCGGCTGCAGTGAAAGGTGACCTCACCTCAGCTCTGCTCCAAGAAACAGTAGTCCTGCCACGGGTATCATGCCACAGTCATGTAGAGGGGGGCTGCTCTTTGATCAGAATTGTAAATGCATGATTCCAAAGGCGGCAGGGCTCTTGTCATCTTGCTCCACTGACAAACAGGTCTATGTCTACGTTAACTCCTAATGGCATCTGCCTCAGTGGAACCAGAGCACTGTTCTAATATTTTCCGAATGTAAGGATCTGGTTTTCTGCTTCTGCTTCTCTGCTTCTGTTTCTCGGCCTGGCTTGTCCTTCTTTGACCTGTTCTTTCTCTCTTACTCTCTTAGATCCCTCCGGCCATCCGACGTCGTTAAGAAACTGCAGTTACCAGATGGATCCAGTGGGGGCACCGAACAGGCGAGCCAAGCGCAATAGAAATGATAAAAAGGGTAGGACTTGCTTCACATGTGTTTACTCTGAAGAAAGTTAAAGATATAGTGTGAAAAGTGCTTAAATTTTGGACCTATGTTATCAGTGTCCGTAAGGCGAATATCAAGGAAGCTCCCCGATCTTTGATTCTTATTGGTCGAGCGCCATTTTTCCACTGAGTTGGAAAAAAAACCCAGGCAATTTCAACTTTAATTTCATATTCAGCTTTATCTTGAATTTCAAACTGCTTAAGGGACCCAAAAATAGAAGCATTGAGGATTTTACAGAAGAGGAAACAATTTACACCTAGATATGCAGACAATGGTGCTCACGCTAAGTGCATCTTTGAACATTTGGGCACTTCTAGCATGGCTTAAAAAGAATTCAGCATTTTAGCTCAGAATAGCATGCATTGTTTGGACACCTACCTAATATGTGGCCAAATATCCCTTTAAATATGTTCACACAAATAGATAAGCTATGAGCGACGTAACTGGTCCAGGAAATTAATTAGTTAATTAATTTGTTACCATCTCCCAAAGAGCGTTGACTCTGATGTAAAGCAGTACAATAGTCTGTGAAGAGGCAAATTTCTCCCACTGTATTTTTCCTGCTGTGGCCTCCCGCTCTGCCCTGAGGTGCGTAGATAATTTGACATTGTGACATCCACAGCCAGACTTAAAAGGGAGGAAGAGCTTGAGGGAGTTCAGGGCGGCGGAGGACCGTGGAAGTCTACTTTTATCATGGGAGTCTGTCTCTATCTTTCCCCTCCACCTCCACACAGCAGGGTCAAGGCCTCACTTGCAGAGGGCACGATGCTTGCGGTCATCCAGCAGTCAGGGTGACGCTGTAACAACAGTGAAATGACTGTCTCCGGTCCAGGTCCAACGCTGCCATTATTATGAAAATACCTGTTAATAACCTGTGGAGAAACTCAATATGTTTGTTAGTCTTTTAAAAGTATTACAACCCGTTTCTTTGGCTTTGGGATCCCTCTTGTTTAAGAGTTCGATGTATTCATTTCTGTAAAGAAGTCCCCTTGTCCATTAGAATTATCATCACACATCTTTTAACTGATGTACATCTTTGAAAACAATGAAAAGTTACTGTTTGACCTTTAGCTGCAGTGATTCTGTGGAGTATTTTTTTTTTAAAACATTTTGGTCAACTGACACCTGATTAGTTCTATCTTATTGCCAGACTAATAATTGACTGTCATTGGAAGGTGATGGACAAACTAACCTTTAGCATTCGGTCGATGGCAGCTGGATTTTTAACTGATGACGAAGTGACAAGATCATTCTGCTTTCATTTTGAACTGCATCTGTTTTATGTCAGCTTTTCATCACTCTCCTTACCAACACTGTTATCGTGTCTGAGCACAATATAGTGGAAGAAATAGCTCTCAGCCAACTGGCAGTCGAGAACTAACTCCATCCAAAGAAGGCCTATTTACCAATACCACAATATTTCAGGCTCTCTTTCTTCCAATGTCATTACCTCTACTCTTGCATTGCCTTGATAATTTATCAAACAGAGCTGTTGTTCTTCTGCAATTAAATGAAGCAGCTACATCAGCTGATAAAGTCATGGTTAGGACCCGTTTTTGCTTATTTCTAGAGTCCTAAGTCAGGTTTCTGGTCACTGTATGATATGTAACCTTAGCCTGCCAGTTCCTGGAGGGGACGACTCCTGTTGTCTTTTAACAAGGTGACTGTAAGATAGTTGGGACAGCGATGTGAGATTTGTGTTTTAAGAACTTGTTTATGTTGGTTCTCTGTCATTCGGCCCAAACCAGCCTCCCCTCTTGCTCCCCTGGTCCTGACCTGTGGAAGGCACCCCCTCCTCCGGATCCATCCTCAGTGCCCGGGGCCTAGCCAGCCCAGCCCGGCCCAGCCAGCGCTCCCCGACAGGGGCTAACGTTTCAGGCTTTGAGTCAAGCCCCTTCTGGAGGTGATTAGCCCCAAACCCATGACAGATTCTTTCCAAGATATCCGACGCGGCGTGTTTATTTTATCCGGGCTCTTTGTGTGGATGTGCTGGACATGAGTAACCCACTTGAAATGGGTATCGGCTTACATACCCAGAGAGGGAGATACTGAGGGAGAGAATGGAGCAGAGCCACAAGACATTTTCTTCTAAAGGCAAAAATATCTATATAGTTATAAAATCTCCTTATTTTTTTAGATGGTTTGTATTGTCAAGTTTCTGGTGGCTGCAGATGTTGAAGATGTTTCATGCCTTCAAGCGTTTCTCCTTTTTTCTCCTCTTTCTTTCCACCAAAACCTTCCACACAACCCCCCTCCTCTCGGCACACACACTCTTCCAACCTTCTTGTTCCATCCAAACTGGGATCCAGCCCCACTAAACATCCGCCCTCATGTCAGAGGGACACAAGGGTATATATTTTTATTTCAGCCTGGAACCCCTACCTCCTGAGCACTTAACTCGATTTCACACTTCAAGTCATCTACAAAGTCCAGCTGAAACTCAATCATCTTGTTTATCATTCATCATCCAAAATAACTTAATGTCAGACTATTTACCACCATTCATGTGCGTTCAATTTCTCCCCTGCAATCCCAGAGCTTCTATTTATGTCAGGCAGCGGAGCCCTCTCTTCATGGTGTATGTTTGAGATGCACTGGCAGACTTAAGGAAGAAACATATAGAGCTACAGTACAGTCAGAGTCAATCACAGTGACAGGCTCTTGAATATAAGAGTTAATATCCTCCAATCTCAGATACGCTCTGATTCTTCTGTCACTCTGCAAATGTCATGAAAACAGGATTCATAAATGTGTTAAAAATTAATTCAAAAGAAGTTAAGAGTAAGTCTTAGTTTAGCTCTTTTTCTAAATGTTACAGGACATGTTTAAAATTGGTCAGTTAATTGAGATTACATTGTTGTAATAATAAAGGTCGTAAGGAATAGCAAGCAAGGATGCAAGTCTATAAACCATCAACATGACACACCATTTGATTACTTTCTTTTTCATGTTTTGTTGTGTTAAGACAAATTAGTTGAAATGTAATCTAAGTCTAATGATTAAAATGTGATGATTTATATCCTAAAGACAACTGGACTTTGGTGAAGTTGCCTTTGGATAAAGCTTTGCATTCCCATGACCTGGATGTCTTCTTAGATGAATGATTAAAGGATCATTTTAGTGTGTTGATACTTGGTCATATTTTGTCGTCAGTGTGCATTAAATGAAGGTCTTAACTGACTGTTTAGTAGAAAGTGGACCGTGTCTGTATCTAAAGTTTTTGGTGTTTTTACCAAACAGAAAATCCGTCAGGCATAAGTGCGCTACTAAATATGCACTTTTCTTCACATACCTATTGTCCTCACTTTTTGTGCAACAATAAGAATCCCTTAAGAAGACACTATCAGGTCCAGATTCAGACTCTCTTTATTGTCTCAGGAGAAATTAATTTGGCAGCAGGAGATCACAGAATGACACAATACAAATGACTCCATTTAAAAAGACAGTATCAGCAACATTAGTGGAAAATCAGTAGAATTAAGAATATCAACTGAAATGGTATTTCTACTAAGTGGAAATATGCAAAAATATAATGTGGAGGTGTGTAAATGCTTAACTGTGCAATAACTTTGAATTGTCAGAATTCCCGTCCAAAAGTCTGCACTTTTATCCACATGTTTTACAATATACTGAGTGTCAGTCTTTCTATGATGGCAGGCTTTTGTTCTCCCCTTTGGGTTTTGCAAATGCTTTAGCTTGAGACTTAGCAACATTTACCATACTCTCTGTAGTTGTGCTACAGTGTTGCTGTACACTGGAAAGTCATTACAGCTGAGCTGTCTTTCCATTTTACACCTCATACAAAAATGATTTGTCCAACCTGACTGCAGTCTTGGCGTGTTGATTGTTTTTATAACAGCCTGTTTTTGGCCTCATCCTGTTCCAAAATCTTAGAAACACTTTTAGAATAGAATAGAATAGAATTAGAATAGAATTACTTTATTGATCCTAAACTGGGAAATTGTGGAAAGATAACTGTCCCTCAAGATAACCGACTCTTTGTGTTATTTGTTCCATAAAAAAGGTAGAAGGAGAAGATGCTTAAAAGTGGGATCAGTGTGTCTCCTTTTATCTGTGGCTTTGCTGCAGGCCAAATCCTTCACCCTCCTCCTCATCCCAAACTCTGTGATATAAAGTCAGGGCTCTCTCCTCCTCAGCAGAGACAGGATTGCTTAATGTGCTTAAGAGCCTTTCTTAACAGGCGTGACTCCTACAGGCCCCCTCCTGATGTCCTGGAGGGGCACTGTAGGGGGATTGAGGAGGTTTAGGGGGTCAGGAGGGGGGCTTTGGTGGGGGGAGTTTCAGAGGGGAAAAGGGAGAGTGGAGTCTCTTCAAGCTTTTTGAGTGCAACTTACACGATAGCTTTATTTCATGTTGCTCGTCTTGTGTCACTGTGTTTGCTACAATATGTATTAATCCTCAGAGATTTCTATTTTACCATGAGTCTTCTACGTAATGTGTTGATCTATCAAAGTAGAAATCTCCTTATCTTTATAGAGTGTAAGTGGCCTGCCTGTGCCCTGCCTCTCTGTGTATTTTAGGAAGTGTGTGTGTAGCCATTTCCTGGCCCTTTGCTGGCCCGAGGGGAAAATCTATCACTTGACATTTTTAGTGGCGCTTTGCAATTAACCCATGAACACTGTAAAGCTGTTTTTGTCCTTTTTATGGCTCAGCAAAACCAAGTAAATGGCTTAAATAAATGCATCATTAGTTCCAGCATTGGGCTGTCAAAATTCATTATCAGTTTACACCAGTCGGCGGCAGCATTGCTGTCAGCGCAACATAAATGTTTACTTTGAATTATGACCTTATTACAGGATGTCAGTACGGCTCGTGAATCAGCTGCCTTTTCAGATTTCTTTTTCTAACACACTGTTGCTTTGATTGTGTTTTTTTTTTATTTTTTATTTTTATTTTTTTTTAAAGAATCAAATCCCTAACAGGCACTGAAAAAAAGCAGATCCTCTCCTGGTGCATCTCGTAGCAGCTGCCTGTGACTCCTCCAAACAAATACAAAATGCTTAAGCCCAAACATAAACGCCAGGAGCTTTGACCACTGAGCTCTCCCAAAGCAGGGATCCCTGAGCAGCTTTAGTTACAGTGAAATATGTCAAACTTAGCCACAGATCAACCTTATGAGCTGTTTATTTGCTAAGCTTGAGCATCTGTGAACTCCACTCATTTTCAGCAGTATTTATTTAGTCTTTTTTTTCCTTTATAAACCTGTTATCTTCAATCTAACTTTCTCTGATTACGCTGAACACTCTCTGCTACCGTTGTCTTCGGGAAAACGACCTGATTGACGAGAGGGATGTGGAAAATGAAGTGCCTGTGATGTTTGTTTGAACTTCTGTGTTGATTGCAGTGGTGGAGAGCGAGCTGGGCCTTCAGGAGGCAGAGGAGACGGAGCGAGTGAAGCAAGAGCGAGCTCAGCAGTGGCTGCACAGTCAGGCTGTTCACTCTGACAGGGACTCAGAGAGGTGAGGCACTGACTGATGGGCATATGATGTTTGTTTTTTGTGCAGCTAAAATTGAAAGGTTGCTTAAACAACTTTTAGAATTTGTATCCTGATTTCTGATTTCTGATTTACCCCTGGTATCTAGCCATGCACATAGTTTGGCTTGTAAACATTACGGTTTTGAAATGTATATCTCTGTGATTTCAAAGTGAGGTACAGGATTATACAGCGTATCTTGGATGTTTCCAGAATTTTTTTTCAATATAACCACAAATTCTCTGCTGTTCTATGAGGAAGGCTGAAGTCTTGTAGGTAGATATTTTAAAAACTGCGCAAAGGAAACCAAAACTATTTGAATGGGTTTCAAAATAAATTCTAACATCACAAAATCATGCTCTCTTAAAATCAAAAATGAGATGAAGGAAAGAAAAATGTCCCCCTTCAGAAGATAAATGCTTTTTTGTTTCAGATATTGTCCGTGTATGTGTCATCACAGATTAGGGAGGCTTTCTTTTTGTATTTCTGTAGGTGAAGTTTCATAACTAGTTGAGAAGTTTTGCTATTTCTCTTTAATGAATTAACTCTTTCTAAAGTGAAAGAGGTAAGTGATTTGTGTAGTACATGAGGGGCAAAACATCTCATAAATGACTGTGATATAGAGCGGCTATAAAAGCAAACAGGACATATCAGGCTGCAGGCCGTTCTTCCCCTCAAAGAGACATTAAACTTATCATGCAGAGCATCTGTGTTTATTCTATGATATGTCAGAGGTAATTGCACAAATAAAGGAGGGAAACTGTTACATTGATAGAAATATGCAGCGCACTAAAAGCCCAAATACTTGGGCCCATTTGTCTTTTTTCCACAGTGTTCGTTTCTTACCCGAGATCAGCACAGACATTCTGCATGGAGGCAGAGTGCAGCTTGTGGTGAGTACACTCCTCTCCTGTTTCCCTCTGCAGTTCATTCACTTCATGGTACGACAGTGAATCTCGATTTGGATCTTTTCTTTGGGGGGGCAGTTGCATGTATGTGAAGGTATGCAGTATTTACATTCAGCAGTCAGAGTCACGTCCTGGGCTGCATGTTCCCTCCCCTGGAGCCTGTCTCATCAGCTTCCATTTTAAGGAGTCAAAAGGAGGGGGGGGGGGGGGTAGCTCTGCGGTGACACTTCCAATTGGATCAACTGGCTGCAATTTCTTCATTTTACTTGTAGAAATCCCAGTGTCACTTTGGAGCAGTTTGCCTGTGCTCGAGAACGATGCTGATGCTGTTGAGGTCTTTGAAGTGGGAAACTGCAGGTCTCCCTGTGCAGTTATAGAGCAGTTTGAGTTATGATCACTGGCAAGACGAGCCCCCCACCCTTTCCTCCTGTTTCTTAGATATGTTCAGACTGCCGAGCCGCTGCTTGTCCAATGTTTTTCACAATATTAGAATGCCTGCTGCGTGAGACGTGTTATGTTGGGCCTCATTTGTGTGTCTGTGTGTGTGTGTGTGTGTGTGTGTGTGTGTGTGTGTGTGTGTGTGTGTGTGTGTGTGTGTGTGTGTGTGTGTGTCGTTGTGCGTGCAGGCGGATCTTGGATACACAGAACATCAACATCACGCTAGTGGATCATGGGCCAACAGCAGTGTAGCTGCCCGGCCCTGCCAAGACAACGGTTATCCTCACAGAAACTCTTTGGGTCATGCAAGTGAGTCTTGTGAACTTCTTCACTCTTAAAATCGATTTACAATCCACCTCTCAGAGGCTTTTTGAATTGAACTTTCATGAAATTTTCTGCATTCAGATGACTCAACTGCTACCTGAAATAAACGAGTTTCGGCACTGACTTCTAGCTAAACATTTTCTCACAATAACTTTAATCCAGGTAAATGGTTATAGTGGTATATATTGCTAATGCTAAATTAAAGGATTCTTGTTTATTTTCATGCATACACAAAATCCCTGCAAATCTCCTGACATTTTTGGGGTGAGCTGCATTTATGAATGCAAAGTGGCCACATTCCCAAGGATAGTGCCCCCCGCTGTGAGGTGCATATGTGAACAACTTACTTAGGAAGATTTCAGGACAGCCGGTCCTTAAAATGTTTCGATGTTTTTAGGGGTGCACGTGTGTAAAAAGGCCTTACATTACTTTTCTTGTCAGGCATTACTGATTCATGACACAGGACATATTTTATACTTACATAAAATACATACATAAACACTCAGATACATTGTGAATGAACAGATAGTGCTCAAGGTAGTACTGCGTAATTCAGATGTCTTGCAATACCTGATATTCCTTCTTTTTTTTTAAACTAACTAATATGAAATTACTCTAATTCAAGTCACCAGTATTTGTAAACACCAGCAAAAAAGCTGTGACACCTTTGTTCTGCCAACTTTTGAATTAAGTAACTATTCCTGTGGTATTAAGAGAATAAGTTTATCACTACATTCATGCTGCTACCTAAGGGACCTGCATGTTGTTGTGTTTATACCTATAGTATGTGTGCATGTGTGTAAATACCTGTACATTAAGCACATACACAGATACACATATGTGTCAATGTTTGCACACTTGCACCCAAAGTCTTGGATCACATAGACCTGAGGCTGCAGAGCCGGGGATAAATGCTGCTGCTTATTCAGCCCAGACTGAGTCCATCGGTCTGCTGCTTTGAGAGGGGAGGGGTGGGAGTGGGGGGGGGGGGCACAAGGTCGAGCTGGGGACAGAGTGCCGTGAATTTCTCCTCTGACAGGAAACTGGCAGAAAGGAAGAAAAAAAAAAACTCTCAGTCCTTTCAGAGAATAATGACTGGCCCTTGTGTCAGAGGACGTGGGGCTCAGGAGTCTGACTGACAAAGATGCTACTGACGGGCTGAAGGCAGATGACCGCTTTAAACAAGCCCAGGAATCTGAGTGAAGGAGAGCCCTGTCCACGTTAACGAAGCCTAAGTGGATTCTGATGATGCTTTTAAAATGATCTCCACGAGGTGCAGCAGCAGCAGGAGCGAGTGTCGCCAAGCTCAGCAGGCAGACTGTTGTTCCCCTGCTAAGGACTGCCTCTAAAAAGAAAGCGTCTTTGTCCGCACTGATAAAATGCCATTTATTGAAATAATCTACAACAAATTGAAACATGAATGTGTATGTAAGGAAAGAGCATTTCTCAAAAAGCCAATTGAGATATTCCATAAACTTTAAAAGGGCATCTAATGGTCTCTTTGCTACATCATCAGAAAGTCAACATATCAGAGGAGAAGGGTTACTCGGGTGAAATAAGGGTAAGAAAAAGGAGAGATTAAAAACAAACGGTACCCATATAAAACGATGTATCTTATTCTTCTGAAGTGGCGCACACCCATCAAAGTGAAGGTTTAAAGTGGGAAGGTTCACGTTGTTTGCCAAAGCAGTAAAGCCTACATAAATACTCTATAACCTACTCTATAACCTATTGAAACACGATACCCACCACTTGCTGGGGCGGTGCCATAAAATGGGTTTCCAGCCTCACTAAATATTTTCACTTCTTGTGCAGAGGAAACCGCTTAAGTTGCATATCTGCTCCCTCAATTTTGTCCGCCGCTCAGCTCTAATGGGAGCAAAATGAAGGAAAACAATTTGTTTGGTCACAGCGGTTGGGTCAAATGTACGGCCATTTGTTTATCTCTGTACATTTAATCGTCCACAATTGGCAACATGTGCGTCAGGTTCTGTATTTGATTTAGGATAGATCGTTGGACAAAAGTCTTTAATAAACTGAATTTAGCCACCAAACATGGCCGGACATTTCTGGAAATAAACACACCAGACTGCGGTGGCTTTATCTTCACACTAAATCGCTCAGACCATGAGGAAAGGGAACGATACCCTCAAACACGAGTTCAATCAAAAAGTACAGAGGGTGTGATTAGGTATGACGTGTGAGTCCGTGGATATTCTATACAGTGTGCAAGCTGTGCAGATATTCAGAGCCGGGTCAGTACCTGCAATACCTCCCAGGCCCTCCACCTCCTCCAGAGCCCTCCCTGCTGTTTGGCTCCCTGTGTGGGGCGGCTGTTGAGACCGCGGGCCCTCGCTCTACACGTGGAATGCATCATGCCCGGGAGAAGCTCTGCCTTTGTTCTCTGTGTTTTTAAAAGCTTTGTGCTGATCCCCAGGTGAAAAGGACAGACCTCTGATACTGCACAAAGAATACCTGCTCACTCTGAAGTCTTTTTATATACTGTAGTGTAGTCCTAAATCTGCTGAGACAGAGAGAAAAACAAACGTCAAATCAGTCTCTTAATCTAAAATAAACTCCAACGGTTAAAGTAAAAATGTGTATTTTTTTTAAAAACGTCTATATCCTCCTCTTTTCATGCATGTAAGGTCAAACGTTGCAGGCTCACTGTTGTCAATCTCTGTGAGTGCTGCTTGATTGGAATGCATTAAAATGCCGAAAGAAAAAGATGCTCATCATTGAATAATCCACAGTATGTCACAATTAAACTGCTAATGCTTTGATAAATAGCAGTAATAATCAGCAGGTTAGCAAATAATGATAGCCACTGTATCAGCAAATTTCATATTTATAGGTTTAATTTTTCACACAGATATTCTGGTGATAAACTTTATATGGTTCAGTTAACGTCGTGAGATCATCATCTGTTTCAGGTAGTTTAAATTTCTCAATAATTTAAAGAATTAAAATTAAACAAAATCACATTTTGGTGACATCTTTCCAGGGATAAATCCTCAGTTGTGCAAGAATAAGGCAATCATTAGCATCAGCAACATGTTGATTTAGGAAGCATGTACTGATGGTCCTTCCTCTAGAAACCACTTTTCTTTAGAAGATTTTTTTAGAAGATTTATTTTAGTGATTCTTTTGGGGGCCTTTTTTCAGAGATTTTTTCAGGACAGTGGATAGAGACAGAAACCCGCAAAGAGAGATAGAACGGAATGACATGCGGGACAGGAGCTACAGGTCCAAATTGAACCTGGTCTGCTCGAGAACTTGAGCCTCTGTACGTGGGACTAACCTCTAGACTACTGCTGCCCCTAGATATTAATCATTACTAACCCAAGTTATCAAGTAAGACAAAATGACTGAAAAACAAACAGACCTGGTCAACAATATTTCTGTAGAATCCTAATAAGTTTAAGATGAAATTACAAAGGGCAACACGACTCTCAGCAAATCCATTCTATAAATTGCAGAGATATCGATAACTTAAAGTTTAGTCAAACATGGAATGGTTCACATGTGAAAAATATTGACTGTTTCCTCTCTCTGTCTCCAGGAAAAGAGGTTCCATCTCCACAGCGAGTCTCGTCTGCTCCGTCAAAAAAGGAGCGCATGTCCTTCAGAGACAACCCCGTCCAGCTGAGCGGCGGCTGGGGAGGAGGCAAGAAGAGGGACAAAGTGTACAAGTAAAACTCAGAACCCTCTACAACAATGTCCACTTTTATGCCATCCTTCCCCAACACCAAAAGCTTCCTATGTTTGTGTTGCAACTTATACAAACAACCGTTGTGTTATTAACATGATTTCAAGGAAAAACACAAAAGGAATTACACTTACAGATTTCGCTCCACAGAGGTATTTTCTCTGAGCGGACGACTTAATTTATTTGTTTTTATACTCTTTTGATCCTCCTGCAGCAGCTCATTTTAAACTCAACATTTCTTGAGAGCACTCTTTTGCAAATAAATGAAGACCAATAGGACCCGCTGCAGCCCAAATATCTCCAGGCTCTTCCATTGTGTTGATTCTGCTCAAGTGTCACTGGCTGAGTTTGATGGCAGCCGACCAGCACCAAAACACATGGAAGAAAATGGCACACTTTCAGCAAAATGGCACGCTTTATATGCAAATAATATCAGGAAACACAAACCATGAGCTTTAATATCTTTGCATTCATGTTTGTTAAGTGGCTGAACTGCTGCTTCTGCATCCATTTACTATGTCAACAATAAAAAATGCACTAATTATGGTTTGCAGCCATGGGAAGAGGCGTACTTTTACAGCTCTTCTCGCCCCCTTTTAACCTTAAAGTTTAATAAAGCCCAAAGGTTTAAGAGAAAACCCCCGCACTCTGTTTCTATTTTAAGCTCCTGCTTACCAACAGAGGGCTTGAAATTACTGTTTCTATGAGCCGAGCACAAACATTGGTGTTAGAATTAGAACAATGTTTTCTTTAATTCTAGCAGTGGATTACGATGGCCTTGTCTGTGTATTTGAATTTGGAGAGCTAAGGCGTCAAACACGGCCTTACCGGAGGCGGTGAACCTCAGGCTTGGCGGTTCCTCGCTGCTCCGCCGCCTGGAAATGATAACTTAATGAATGTCAAAACAAATAGTCAGAGCTGCAGAGTGGCTGCCTGGCAGGAAATGCATGTCGCTCGTCTATTTATTTTCCTTCTATCTTTCACTTAGCGCATGTCTGGAGGGTGTGTTTTGACTGTACGAGAGCTGGTGGGGGGATTTTTGTCTCGGAGAGTCGTGTATGCCAAAGATGTGGAGGTCCTGTTGTGAAACCAGAGAGCACTGTCCTCCTCATCCAGGGGGAGGCTCATTCTTCTGGCTCTCTGGGGGACATAAAGCGAGAGTTCCTCTGTCCTTACACAACTGTGACACTGGAGAATTTAGGTTGTTATTTAAAATACTGAAAATACATGAATACGAGCACACAGGTACTGTAAAGTTTCTGAATGTTTCACATGAGCTTGTTTGTGTTGTTGTTCAACCATCATCTACCAGCCTTTTATTAGATTTATCTACTTTCGAGTTGTGGGTAAATTACATGTAACCTAAGACATTCAAAATCCACAGCCTGGTGAAATGAGTGTTCCACCACACATTTAGATAAGATGAAGAATGTAGCTGTCGGCCTGCACCGTGCTGCCAGCCTGACCTCAAGTCAGTAAATGTTGTCAGCTCGAGTCTGGCAGGCAGAGGTTCTGTGTCGGAATCCCTCCAAATCCTCCTTCAAATGCATTCAAGAACAACAGAGTGCCATCAAGTTTAGCAACAAATTATATACAATCCACATTTTTCTGCTGACTAAATTCCTTTGCTGTCTTTTGATATATGTTGTAAACCGTTTCAGGCAGCCATTGATTTCTATTTCTTTTGTGTATGTATGAAAAAACGTGCTTGGGTTGTGTAATTAATCACACTCAGCGGCAAATCAGATTTTATCAAATGTTTCATAATCATTGAATTGTAATGCACTTTGTGTCGTACAAGGATATACAACACAATGAACACAGACTGAGTTTTATGCATTTAAGCTATTCGCTGCCTTGTGTTACATGTGTATGTACGCTGGAAGTATACATATGTAGGTTTACTAGAGATGTCAACACTTATAATAAACTGAAAGATGCGAGTCTCTCGTCTGATCCATGACAGGCTCACACATTGAGCAGTGTAGAGCCGTACGGGCAGCTCTGTTCTGCATGAGCTGGATCTTATTTAGCTCTTGTTTTGAATCATTAGATGTCCAGACTGCTGGGATAAGACTTAAGGGTGTATCATTTGTTTTCTTGTATCTTCTGTTAGAAAATAGGCGTTCTTTCTGATGATGGAAATGCCTCTGCTCATTTTTTACAACTTTAGTTTTAACGTGATGTGTAAACAGGCTGAGAATTATCCATGACAGTTTTCATCAATTCTTACACTAACAGTTGGGCCTCTTTAACCTGATCAATGCTTGTAAAGAGATGGTTGATCCGTCCTCAGAGCTCGTCTCAAACCAAATATCATGAAGGTTTAGAAACTATAATATAGTGACGGCACTAAACTGAGGCACACTGCATCTACTACAAGACGCTGCATGACATACAAAAGACAATTAGAGTACATGTGTGCAGGCAGCATAATACTGACTTAACTGCTTCTGCAAAGACAGATACTTTATTAATCCTTTAAAGGAAATTATAAAGTCACAGCAGCTATAATCACATTCAACATACCAGATCTTATGTCACAAAAAAATCAATTTAAGCAATACAGATATCTAAAAATGACATATATAGTCCAGGATGCAAAAGTAACTTATAATGTTTAAAAAATACTAAAACCCCTCAATAAATAATGCATACATATATTTACAAATATATGCCTAAATATGCTTTTATGCAAATGAAATACTCCCTAAATGTGTGTGTAAACACTCCTGGAAATATGAACCCTGTTTACAGAGAAATCTGGAATCAGCTCACACAAACAGAAACTTTGCACTGCAGCCTGAGAGAGGTCAAAGCTGATTATCGTCTAAACAGCGACCGCCTGCTTTTTATGTCACGCAGATGAAGACGGGTTTGAGTCGCTCTTTTCACTAGACTGAAGGCGGGACAGGTAGTAAAAGCACTGAGAATATTACCCAATGAGATTCAAGCCTGTTAAAAGATTACTAACACGTTTATTACCAACACAGTCACAGATGGAAGACTGATGAAAATAAGTGCATGCATGACGTCTTTATAGAAGTTGTTATGTTTGAGACATTCGCAAAATGTTCAGATTTAGATTCACTTTTTGAAAGGTGTCTTGAATTACTGGTTTACAATGAGACGCACACAAATAATTTCAGCTGTGATTTTTCATTTTAAATTCTAATCACATTTTATAAATAAATTGGTAAGACCAGTAGGAACAGATATCGCTCTAAGAAAACTTGTAAATATTCGATCAGTGGCATGATTTAATTTCAGCGTATTTATCTGCAGCCGGAGTACTCCCTGATGTGTTGAGTTAGTGTTTGTGCATCTCTTTAGTTATTCTGTAAAATGTTGTGTTTTAGATTAACTTATTAGGAATGCACAATGCTGTTTAAAGCTGTACTACTCTGACCTTAATCTGTTCTACATTTTGAATTGTCAAGCATTAAGAAAAGGTCAAATTGTGGTAATTTAAATTGTGATAATGTGTGTTTGCTCATTGTTACTTTCTATCGTGTTGGTGTGTTCTCTGCTGTTATAAACTGTTCAAGTTCTATATGAGGGAAATCTTATTGTGACTTTTTGAAGGTCATTAAAATTGTCTTTTATTGTGTATCACAGCATCTGGATTGAGTCTGACGCTCGCTCGCGGCGGCTAAGTTCTGCTTTCAGTCTAAGGTGACTTGTTTAACATTCAGCCATGAACCCAGATGACTTTGTCAAGTGACTGAGCGCTGAAGACTGTCAGCGCTCAGGAACGCCTGACTCCTGGAAAAACAAAAAGACAAACAAACAAAATCAAAACGAACTCTTAAAAGCACGAATGCACTGCTTTCACTTTTTCAAACTCAAAGCTTTTGCGAGCCAAAAGCTTTGCAGGCTCAGATGACATTCATAAGCTCCATAAAAATGTTGGGCTTTTTGGGAAAATAAACTCTGCTCGTCTTTGTGTTTAGTGGCTCGCCAAAGTTTGAAGACGTTTCAGTAGATTGAATTAGACCCCAGGGTGGCTTTGAGCAAAATGATATCATGTTTGTGCCTTCTGAAGTGGCACGTCTTGGCTCCGTTTGGTTTATTGGACGGTGATCAGACACGTTAGAACTCTAATGAATTATGATTAGTTCAGTTCATCACATTTTGACCATGTGGAGGCAGCATGAGGTTTTAACAGCTATCGGTTTTAGTTTAAATTTAAAATGACATGTTCTCCTTTCACATGACATATTGGCTGTATGACTTACAGAACGAATCTGACTGATCGGCCTGAAGGTGACCAAGCCCCCTAAACTTCACTAGTCCATATACAGCATCTATCGACGCAGGAATTTCCAGACGAAGTCCCAACCAAACCTCAGTGAACTTTTCACATTTTCTCCTCAGCGTGAGCCAGTGTGCGAGGTCATCTTAGAAGCCCAATAAGACATCCCCCCTGCTACCCTGTTTATTTTTATTTTTTTCTCCTGTGGCACCATGAAGCTCCAGGTAACTGCCACTGACCCCAGAGCGAACCAAAGCTGCATGCATGGTGTGCATGGCAGGTGGTGTGGCTGCGGAGGGAGACGTGGAGGTGGAGGGAGATAGGCTTTGGTTAGTGGTAACATAATTCCTCCAATAAGAAGAAATGGAAGAACCGCTTTTTCCTGTTATTTCTTTGCAAAAACTTAAACTCGGTTTAAGTTAAGTGTGTGTGCGTGTGTGTCTGGTGTGTGTGTGTCTGCTGCGTACTCCAATTCAAGTAAAGGTTAATACTTTATTTACAGGACTTATGAATGTAAGATATATTTTGTTTTATTGATACTTTTTTTCATAAAGGATAAATTGCTAAAGGTCAGAAAAACACTCACTGCTCATGAGCACAGGTTAGTAAGTGTTCATGTTTTTAAGCTCCTGTTAAACTTTTAAAAACTGAATTAAGGAATTCATTCATAACTTGTTCTTGTGACGAAATCGTATGCCAAAGGTATTATTTTTTCATGGCCCATAACGCGAATTTCATCGAGAACATTGACTGTAGTGCACACACGTGCGCAAAACCATCCAATATCTTTCGTCGACATAAATGTCCCACCTCGGGAGTTCAAATAAGGAACTTAATTTTTGCTTAATAAACTTAAGGAAATTGTTTTTCAAGCCACTCGAGGAGTTACAACTGTAAACATTTAGTTTTCCAAATTCCCAGGACCTTCTCCAGGTCGTTTAGATTTCGCTTAAAGTCTGGAGCGTGCTGTAAGTGTTAATCACTGTTAAATTGACAAATGACGCAAGCTTGTCTTTCAAAATCGAAACGAAAATGAAAGCTTTAGAGCCATATTTTTAAATAAAAAAAGTGCACGTAGGCAAAACGCGCATCATTTTATTAGAATAAAAAAAAACAGCAGAAGAAATTCATCCATTCAAAAAAAAAAAAAAAAAAAAGTTCTGCTTTTCTAAAATTATTATTGATTGATTATTTTCAATGTGTTCCTCTGGCCATCAATAGAGGCATCTCTTATAAGGCCTTTATCCTTGAAACATGAGGTTTAACACATTTGCATGGACTAATTATTTCAGAGTAAAGGCATTACCAAACGTCCAGGTTTAGATATAATAACTTAAATAATTTAAATATAATTATGTGAATGTATGTTTTTTCCACGAGTAAATTTTCGAGTATTTTGCAATTAAAACTTTAAAATTTGAAGTTAACGAGCAGCCACTTGAAGTCGATCCACAGCCTCAGCTAAGATCCAGTTTGCATCAGAAGCAGCTGCAGCAGTGTAAATTATAGCCTCTTTGCTGATGTGTAAACAGGCTGTAAATTAAAGTCACTTTTGATCGCCTCCTCTCTGAGTCGTAGTGGGTCCAGGATCTCTTCAGGCTGCTGCTCGGTTTGGGTTCAGCTCGTGGGAGGAGTTGGTGCTGCTTCATAATCTGAGAGGAGGGGTGGGTGGGGGGCTCTTTAAGGATCTCTTTCTCTTTGGGGCTATAAAGACGTAGTGCCTTCAACACAGAGCAAATTAACTCCATTGGCGAATTTTTTGCATTACGACGCATCGCTCCGCTCATCTGCGCGCGAAGGAGATTAGTTTCGTTTTTTATATGGTGACATTTGGTTAAAGCGAGAGGATTACGGTGATGGAGTATATGGAGGATAAATTTGCGTTGAAAAGCCAAGCGATGAAGGCCAGCGATTACTACATGGAGCAAGTCATGGAGAGCCTGGACGGTGCGCAGTACTTCACCAAGTCCTCCCCGAAATGTGTGCAGGCCTTCGGGCTGCAGAGCGGAGAGCACCGCTCCTCGCCCTGCGGAGACCAGAACGGTGCGTAGAGGCGACTTTTTGTAACTTTTTATTCTTTGTGCATGAACACTGCAGTTTTTCTGGAGCTATTCTGCGTCTGTCTGTGAGTAAGAGAGACACTTGAGGGAAATGTAATGTCCACACGATTCTTATCATGATTCATTTTTGGTTTTCTGTTAAATGGTGTCATTGTAGGCTTGTTATTTTATGTTTTCGCAATTTAATTTATTTAAACTTGTAAAAATCTTTCTTGGTCTTACAAAATGCCGGTAATTTAAGTGTGCTATTCCAAGACACTTTTTTTTCGTATGGGGAGCAGTCATTTCCATATTGCATTTTTATTTTTATGCTTTAAGGTTCGGTTTAAAGTGTCTTGGAATAGCAGGTGAAAGTATATTATTTTACACGTGTGATTTGGTTTTGTAGGCAATTACGGTGTGCCAAAAACAGACGAGGACACTTTGCACTCGGACCTGGGCAGGCCGATGGACAGTTGTTGCACTCTGCGGGCCTCTCCGGTGACATCCGGCCAGGAGAAAACGGACTTGGACGAGATTGGAGACAAATGTGACAGTAACGTGTCCAGCAGCAAGAAGAGGAGACACCGGACCACCTTCACCAGCGCGCAGCTGGAGGAGCTGGAGAAAGTGTTTCAGAAAACGCACTATCCAGATGTTTACGTGAGGGAACAGCTGGCCATGAGGACGGAACTAACCGAGGCCAGAGTACAGGTACAGTAAATCGACATTGTTGTAAATCTCACGTACGAAGAAGAGAAACCACACAATCAAGAAAACAGCCATTAGGCCTACACACAAAAATGTGACGCACTCGTTTGGCCTATGTGCGTAAAAATCTAAATTCAACGAAGCAGGGCGTATAAATCAACATATGTGCAACACTCACAAGACATCTCTTATATTATTGTTTTATTATTATTAATATTTCAACATTTTTGTTTTTTTAACGAACGAGTGCAAAAGAGGGGCTTTAATTTTACTTAATTGTTTTTGCCAGAATTTCTTTGCACTTCTTTTTCACGAAAAATTCTATAGAGAAGTCGAATTATTTTATTGGATTTAACCTGTACGTCACATATATTTGCTTTCTCTTTTCCCACTCAGGTTTGGTTTCAAAACAGAAGAGCGAAATGGAGGAAAAGAGAGCGCTACGGTCAGATCCAACAAGCCAAAACTCACTTCGCAGCCACCTACGATTTATCTGTGTTACCAAGGACCGACAGCTACACACAGGCAAGTTTTTCTAACAGTTGTGGTTTATATTTACAATTATTTTAAATGAGCCTCTGATGGGAGTTTTAGTCTATTTGTCAATCGTAAACTCTGTGTAGGCGGTGATACGTAATGCGTAATTCTTCATCTAAATAAGTCCTCTCTTCCAAAAAAAAAAACCCTCCCACAACAAATGAAAGATTGGAACTGCATTAATCAGCCCCTGTCGTTGCTGCTCCATTCATCACTTGTTATGAAAGCCACCCTCAGATAAGAGGCTGGACGCTGATTAGAGCCTGTGTGAGGTGTCATGGCTGAATTAATGGTCTTATATCAGATTTCATGTTAGCTGAGCATTTGTCTTTGGTGTTTGGAACAAAGGTCAGGTACGAGATGAGGTGAGAGGAGACGCACGGTGTCAGTCCCTGTGGAGGGTGTTTTCTCTCACAGACTGAGATTAGGCCTCAGAGTGATATACAGGCGGGAGCTCTTTGGATGGGTGTGTGTTGACATTTTTAGCTCACAGAAAGAAGCTTAATGCACTGAATGTTTTAAAGAGGTAGAATTTTTAGCCAGGGCCCAGCTTTGCTCCGGCCCAACACCAGGTCAGAACTCTGGTCTTAAATTGTCTCCACATATGTTTCTGATAGATTTCCTGAATACCAGCCATGCCCTCTTCTTCCAGCTGATCCAGATTTCTATCATTAAATTGACCATCCCATGTGTAATTGTGCTGGCACTGGGCGGGGGTTCGTCTCCCTGAACACAGTGGACATGGATTGCATTTTTGTGGGTTTTTCAGAGGTTGTTTTGTTAAAAGGGAGGTTTTGGCCAATATTTCGGCTTTATAGGCAAAGACTGAAGTCCTGCTTATTGATGGCTCGCTTCAGGGACATGTTGGCAAAGCTGTTTCACGAGCTACAACATGTTTCCATGATGTGAAGGAAATTCATGAAACTGTCAGAGCCCACTGTTGCTTTGTGGTTTTTAAATTACATTTTCTGTAAGCTGTACTGACTACAAACATACTCTGGCTAATGGTTCTGACCTGTACTGAGCAAAAGCCAGTTGGTACTGTCTATACTTTTTTGTTTTTGTTTAGCCATGTAAAATACAAGGAACTATTTTTCTGGTTTTAACTTGTACAAAATGTGTTGAGACATTTTGGAGCATTACTTTAGTTTTCTTTTGATCAAAATACCGCTTGGGAGCTTTATGAAATGCGTAAGTATGTTAAGAATGAACAAAAATGATGTTGGCACATTTCCGTGACATCATTTTGATGAAATACAGTTCAGGGAGAAATTATTTTTTCATGCTACTCACATTGGCTCGACCTCTCCGTTTGATTGAAATCTTGGCGAATCAGACCAAATGATCTGCGTCACAGTGAATAATGTCAAATGAATGTGATGGAGCAGTCACTGCAGTCTGGATTCAGTGCCAAACACACACACACACACACACACACACACACACACACACACACACACACACACACACACACACACACACACACACACACACACACACACACACACACTCACACTCACATCCCCACTGTCATATGGACTCAAAACTGCTGACCAGATGAGATTGTCACCGCTCTGTTGTCTCGGGTAGCTCTGTCATTCTCCAAACTCCTTTCACCATAAGAGAGTTACTTTGACCATTATTTTGTCATTTACTGCCATTTATAAACCTCCTGTGGTGATTAATGTATTTACGTTTTTTTGGGACAATGGGGTTCACGGATATTTCGTCACTGAACAAGTCGTCCCAGTGAATATGAGTGTCTACTAGAGTCAGCAATCGGTTTAAATGTTAACATGTTTATTCATTGTTGTACGGGTCAACGAACCTTTAGGAAAAGAGACTCAGTTGTTGTGGCAGAAATTATTTTTTGTGTGCAACAAACACACTTAAAACATTTGGAAAACACAACCCAAATACTTTAATTTTATATATTCATTTTTTAAATGTGCATGCTTTCAGTTTCTATGTGTAGATTATAGGTTTTCATTTTTGTCTTCTTATTTAAGTATCTATTGAAATTTAACTCTGCACTCTGTGAGGAGAATACTGGCAGTAAATCATGAACAAACCTTCACAACTGCACAGCTCCTCCACTGCACCTTTTTATAGTTTTATATTCTATTATATCTTTTTTAATTGCTTTTATAATTTTTTTGTGTTATTTTATTAAAGTCGTCAGCAGGAGCTCAGCAGTTTTATTGCTTCTTACTATTTTATCTTTAGTCCTCTGTTCATTGTTTTAGCACCAAAACACCAAGTCAAATTCCTCGTGTAAATGTACTTGGCATAAAAAAACGATTCTGATTCGGACACATTGACAGCTGCTTTGCATATAAAACACTCGAGCTACAACAGAGAATTATTTTCTAAAGAAATATCTCGATTTTATTTAGTTCATAGGGAGCACTGAAATGTTTCTGTAAACTAGAAGTAAACTGGATACGATCCTATTTTCAGCGCTTTCAGCCTCACCTCATGGTCCACATCAGTTTATGAGGTTCTCCTTCAGTGAAGGGTTTAATAAACTGGGGATGGTTGAAATACTTTTTTCCTGTATGTTATTAAGAGACTGTTTGCATGTGCTGATGATGAAATGAGGAACTTGCAGTTTCTCTGGGTGGCTGTGTGTAACGAGACTCGTTACACACAGCCATATATATATATATATATATATATATCAGCAGATATCTTACTTAGACCTATCTTCAATGTTTACACACATGTATAACGTTGATCCCTCAGATGCTGTTATCAAACACTTTATCTACTCTATTTGAAAAGATTTATAATTAAGAAAATATATTTCAAAGTTGACAACAGTTCACTGAAACACACATTTTTACTTTGAAATTAACATTGTAAATTTAAACGATGTAACAATAAATAATAAACTTGAATGGAATAAACTTCGTTTTATCGGCACATTCCCAAAGTAAAAATTAGCCCGAAGTCAGGCCTGAAGTCAGTCAGGCTCTATTTCTGACAGAATCACCTGGGTAACCCTCGGTAACCCTTTACATCAATTTGCTGAATTACTCAAACCATTTTTACGGGACAAACCTCAACATGTTGCTCTTAACTTTTAAGATGTTACCATGTATAAAAAAAGATTACATTTCAATGAATTACTTTTTCCGTGTGTCTCAATAAGCAAAGTATCCCAATAATGAATTTATATTGTAGTATGATTTATTTTGCAATAGAAATACAGTATAATAATAATAATAATAATAATAATAATAATCAGTCTAATATTTCTTAAACAACATTTTATTAAAAATGTTTATGCATAAAAAAGGCCTAACTGAAGTAACTACAGATGTTACAGATGTTGTTTAATGCTTGAGTATTTCATTGTTAGACATGAGAAGAACAAAAACAGTTTAAAAAATGTTTATTTAACATCTTTTCCCTCAATAAATAAATGTTGGGGAGCTACAGACCTCATTCCCAGTCTTTACAGAAAGTCATGTGTTAGCTACACACACATTAACCTTGACACTACTTACCAAAAAAAACAAGGATTCATATTCAAAAGATTTCAATAATTCATACAACACTTTAGGATTTAGGACAGTAAATGTGTGATGTGTCATCTGAGTTCCTGGTGGGTGGAAGGTCTCACTGAGCATGTGCAGTAAGAGTAACATCTGTCTTCAGTGTTTCTGATTGGAGGAATCTCCTAACTTGTCTACAAACGACTATGAAGTTTTACATTTGTATTCTTCTGAACATGCAGCTTCAAGTGCTCAAATGGATCTTCATTTTCTGAAACTGTCTTCCACGTACAGATCCCCAACAACCTGTGGCCGAGCTCCTCCCCTGCCGGCTCTGTGGTCTCCTCCTGCATGCTGCCTCGTGGCTCCCCTCCCTGCGTCACCTCCTACTCGCACTCCCCTCGTTCTGCTGCCGGCGCCCCGGACCACGGCTACGTTGGCTTCCCCAACCAGCAGAACCAGTTCAGCCACGTCTCCCTCAACAACTTCTTCAGCACAGACTCCCTCCTCACGCCGGCCGCCAACGGCCACCATGCCTTCGAGACCAAGCCTGAGTTTGAGAGGCGCTCGTCCAGCATCGCCGTGCTGCGCATGAAGGCCAAGGAGCACGCGGCCAACATCACGTGGGCCATGTGAGGGTTCCTGCAAAGTCTGGAGAATGTATGGAAAGATTTGTCAGATGTGTCTGAAATAGTTTTCAGGAGAATCTGTTTGTCTCTCACAGCACAGCTCTAATATTTTTATTCATCTACAAACTATATGTAACTTATTTTTAGTTGAAAATCAGAGGTGCCCTGTTACTTTATCCTTCTAATTTAGACCAAAGTTTATGCATATTGTAAAGGACTCAAGTCAATATGTTCAAACGTCTTGCCCTAAGTTTAAAAGCCATAATAATATGTGACAGACAATCAACAGTGTCATATCTACAGCAAAGTGGACTGGAACTATTTGAAAAAAAGACCTTAAACAATATAGAGAGGTCAAAGACTGTCCTCTCGTCTGGACCTTCATGTAACTCAAACCCTCTTTGAAGAGCTTATGACTGATTATGTCCAGGACTGAATAATATGCTTATGTCTCTATGTCTCTATATGACCTACATAAAGCCAACAGGCTGTCTATAAAGTTATTTTTGATGCCTGTCAGTGCTGGTCGGTTCTGTCAAAGCAAACCGGAAGTGCCTTTGTTTACATTTTCAACCAAAGAGATGAACAGTGAGTGATATGTTTGACTGTTAAAAAAAAGCAGGATGAGTTTTTTTGTCAGAAAACATACTAACACATGTACAGGACATGATGAACAAAGAGATCAGAGGTACTGTTTCATCCTCAGGGGTCTGACTTTTTTTTTTAACACACACCCTAAAGTTCCTCACAGTAATTTTAACGTTAGCGATACGATTCAGGATAGCGTCCAGTGCTTGCTTTCTTATTTTTGTTTTTTAATCAGGACCAGGAAGACCTGAAGAGTCCTTTTAATTTTATTGTGACAAAAAGACTTTGAAAGAGAGGCGCGGGAGAAAAAAATTCCCGGGCTCCCAGCGTGGGCGCATGTGGATCCAGAGGGAGGCGTCCTCAAACCACTACAGCATTTTGGAAGAACTGTGAATAAGCTTTCTATACCTTCGTCTTCCTCCCTCCTTACAGCTCAGGACTGAAGATGAGCGGCGCGGGGGTCAAAGTGACGCGATGTACTGACATGTGTTTGTGCTTTGCAGCAAAGCTCTGTAATCTTTATGGCCTGTCTCTGTTCTGTATCACAGGTACATGATGCAGGTAGAGGAGGCAGGTTTTGTAATTGTGTTGTAAATTGATGATGTAAGCAAAATAAATGAATGTCTCTTGATTCCAGAGGTCTGCATTTTCTTTTCTCGTTATCGGTAAACTTAAAGGCGGAGTCTAAAAAATCTAATATAGACCTCTACAAAAGTAATGCTGCTCAATCATCACTTAGGGCCTCCATATATGTGTGGTGGTGACTGTGTCTGCAAGGATTCTGTCCTCTTCCCGGATTTTCATGTTTTCTACTTGACTCTGGACGTTTCTGTGCTGGAAGATAGTGCGTTTTCTCCAGCCAATGACAGCGCGCAGCTGAGTTTAGGAGTGAATACAATTCAGTGATTGGACGTGATTCAAACCGGTGAAGATGATGGATGTGGACGTAGCGGCAAAGCAGACAAAATATAATCATAGTGAGGCAAAACTCCCAAGCGGGTAAAGCTTGACCAGAACGGCGGCGAACCTTTGGTTAGCCTTTACCTGCGGAGGCGGAGTTGGTTTGCTTCCTGTTGGACAGTCAGGTACCAAACACAAGCAGTTAGCTCGTGCTAGCTTGCTGTAGCTTGCAGCGTAGGTACAAGCAGTATACTTTCACACTATGTCCTGCAGTAAGTGTGCACTTCTAGGAGCGATGCATCCAGGAGGGAGGGCCCAGTTTGAATGTTGTGTTTACAAGCTGAAAAAAAAAACATGCCACTGACTCCAACTTCAAAGAAGAACATGACGAGATCCACAGACATGTACTGTGTGTAATTTATTTTATGTGGCAGAGAGCTTTATTGCATTCCAAACAATATAAAAAAGTAAATTCACCAAACTATCTCATCTGGGTGTCTTGTTCCTTTGTTACCCTAAATATACAAAATGATGTTGACTTATCAAAAAAAAAATCACACCACCTTCATGAAAAAACTCCAAAGATCACCAAATGTTGATCAAGGCACAGCTGAAAATAGTCCCCAATGTAGACTTTTTGTGTGTGTGTTAGAATATATTTAGTCCAAACTGAAGGGGCACTGCAGACTAAGTGGTTAGTTTCCACACCCATGTACAAGGGCAAGGGCCCGGGTTCGAATCCAATCTTTGGCTCCTTTCCTGCATGTCATTCCCCTCTCTCTCTCTCTCCCTCTCTTTCTCCCTGATTTCCAACTCTATCTAAAAATAAAGCCCCAAAAAGCCCCAAAATAAACCTTAAAAAACTTAAAATAAAGTCTCCTGCTGTTTAAGGAATACCACACGCTGAAGCACTTTGACCAAATGGTGTTATCTGTTTGTTATTTGTTTTTAAAATGGATGTCTTAAGTAAGAACCCGTGAGCTTGGTCCCATGTCCCAGAAACACGAGTCTTATGCCGGGTTTAAGTCTCGTAATAGAATTTGCCTTCTTTAAGAAAAGTAAATACAACAGCGGTTTGATCCTTTAACAATTTGATATTCCTGCAAGACATATTATATATTTAACTAGTCATTCAGATCTTTAGCAGGTTGTAATATATCACTGTTGTCACTCATACAATTTTACTACAAACAATAGCATAAAAACCCAACCAATCCTACAACTTTAAGCTTTTTCTTTGTTTAAAAAAAAAAAAAAAAAAAAAAAATGTTGATCAATGAAGTCCAATATATACTCAAAAATATAAATTAATTCTCAGGTAGCAAAAGACGTCTTTAAAATGGATTGTTTTGACCAAAATCCTAATTTACAACTAAATAAATCAGAGAATGGCATTAAATCTGTACACTTTAGGAACTAAAACCATTATAATTGCTTCATAGCTGACAGTGCAAAATTACATTTGACTAAAAAACATTAATGACACTTTGCTGCTCCTGCATTTACAAAGTCAGCAACCCAATTTTAACGATCATTTTAGGGCTTTTATGTCTTTATTTTTTAGATAGGAACCAAAGAGAGAGAGAGGGAGTCACAGGAGCCACAGGTCGGATTCGAACCGGGGGCTGCCCACTCTCGAGCACTTGAGCCTTTGTACATGGGGCGCGCACACTAACTGCTAGGCTCCTCACGCCCCTTAGTGACCCCAATTAAAGAAAAAAGAGAAGAAATAAATATGTTTATTCTGACTAGAAAAATTGGTCACAACTTTAAATACATTTTTGAGAAAAGTCTCAAAAATGTCCTAAAACAGTTGGCTCCTTAAGTTCTCAGCAAACATCAGTATATAAAATGCATTTATCAGGGACTACTTTAGGATGTAATACACATTTACTGCTCTAATGTAAATTGTCTGGTGTATGCCGGATTAATGCAAAACAAACTCCAGTTCCCGTGGTCATTTTGATGACAGGATGTGTCAGCCACTGCATATTCTGAGACTCCTCCAAATGTTTTGAATACGTTGAGGTCAAAATTGAAGCTTTGGGTACACAGATGCTCCGTATAAGAAGGATCATTCTCTGTTTAAGTCGGTCATTACATGGGATTGGATGACAACAAGAAAAATATACAGTGTAACCAACGGTATCCTTTAAACTCCGTCCAAAATCAGGCCTCACCTTTGTAGTCTGGAAAGAGCCATGTCAGCTCATTAAACTCAGTTAATCTCCTCATTCATCAGTAGTAGCCGAGCCATTTCCATGAGGCCCCAACACGCCGCATCTCTCCTGAAAACATGCAGAACTTTAATCCATCACATTGTCTCCTAATTGGGAGCATGTCTTCGTCTCCTTCCTCTGACATCATCCTTTTGTTTTGCTGTGAGATCACAGTCCGCGGTGGATGGTATCTGAAGGGAAACCCTGTCCATTGGAACGGTAGGCTTGATTCAATTAAGGGCTGTAACTTCAGTCAGATGTTTGAGTTAAGAAACACGTTTGTTTCCTTTTGTGCACTTCCTGGTTACTGTCATTTAAGAGAACAAACACAAGAACTTTATCTGCGTGCATCAAAACATGGAGGCTTTGATCCTGAAGTAACCACGGAAACAGTGTTGGGTGTTTTCGCTCATGTTGTAGTGAGGTGTTTCTGGGTCTTAAACACTGAAGACACATTTGTTACCCACTGCTTTGTAAACGTATCATTACATGATTTTGAATTTGTGCTAGCTATATATATATATATATATATATATATATATATGTTGCATATTTGCAGTAGGTGAGGATGATCGTCAAAGGAGGGGGATTGACTTTATTTGTTGAAATCTTTCTCATTCATCGTCACAGTTCCTGCATTGCACATGTATTTTTTGTTTAACAGCAAATGTTTTGCGTTTCACATCGTGGATGAACGTAACATGATGACTGGTCGGACGTTACACACATGTAGCAACATCCAGGGCTGAGAAATGAGGCCAAAGCCTATGTGCCGAAAACTACAGTTCCGCAAATGGCCACTTGGGGCCTGGCTGCAAAAGTGAGTCAATCCCCTTTAGGCCCAATTTTAAAATGTCCACCATTACAGCCAAATGAAACATGTTAACAGCCTTTTAAAAACTTTCTATAACTTTAAGGTGTATACTCTAGCTTAGCTCCAATATCTTATCTCATGGAATTAAGGGAAAATTTATTTTATAACTTGACTCCATCCTCCAATAAACACATGCTGAACCTAAAACTTAAACATGTTCTTTTATATCTGTATTTTTCCCACCATCTGTGAGCTCATGCTGCCCTCCTCTCACCTCCTGCATCATCTTCAATCTCGCTGCCACAGAAGTTGTGACTCGACAACCTGAGACTGATGATCAAGCAACCAGGCCTGCACACATGTTTGAGTGTGTGTGTGTGTGTGTGTGTGTGTGTGTGTATATATTAGAGAGAGTTTTTGAGAGAGAAAGCTCCTGCAGACCAGATCCATCAACAGCTCCAATGGGTTTGACCCCCTCAGGTTAACCGCAGCCATTAATTTAAGAGCTTCCCTCCCCTGCCTCCCTACTTCCCGCTTTACCTCACGTGGGGGAGGATAGGTCTGTGTGTATGTATGAGAAAACACACTCACACACACACACACACACACACACACACACACACACACACACACACACATAAAAGTGTGGACATGAAGACATAACGCTAGATCAAACGTTCTGGCGGCTGAAAAATGGAGCTGGCGGTCACGTATGTTCCACAGCAGAGATGTACACTCTGTGTCTGCTCACTGTTGTTTTTCTAATCACTCAGCACTGATGTTCTACTTCTTCTTCTTCTCTGGAACAAATAGACCGCTTCACCACCCATATTTCTGCTTTTTTTTTTTCTGCCAGGACATCTATTAATCATAACCCCTCGCCCTGGCTCAATATCCGCAGACTAAATTCAACATGTCATTAAATATATGAGTCTCTTGGCAAGAAAACATAAAGTCCATACAGTTCTCAGAGGTGGGAAGCAAATTACTTTCAAACTGTTGATGGTAAGTGATGAAAGTTTAGATATCTGTAATTTATCTGAGTATGCATTTGATACCTCTACATTTAAAAACATGCACTTTAAATTTGATGCATTTGAAGAAATGATTCAATTTATTTGCATCCTTTAGCGTCCACCTCACAAACATCAAGACTGATTTAAACAATTTTGGATGGGGGTGGGGTCACCCGCTGGTAGCACCCGCCCCAGGTACACAGACTGTAGAGCCACCATCGACTGTATCCACCATCATATCTCGACTATAAAGGCCCAAAAAGCCCCCCCAAAAAACATATACAAGAAGAGTCAAGTTTAAAAGTGTCCAAATATGACTGAGGTTCAGTTAGCTCTAAACATTAAGGCTGGCAGAAATGTCCTTCATTTATTTTTATAGAGTGACAACATGTCAGTCTTTACTTTTTAAGACGACGTATCAGTACTTTTTCACACATATACTTCTACTTGAGTAGCCTCTATTATATAAAACAAGTCCAATCTAATCATCATAAAAAGTCACTTCTTTATAACGTCTTCTGTGATTGTAGTGAAACTAGATTAAAGGGCCTTACATTTGGTTAGTTTGCACTTTACTGTCCTCTAGTGGATTGTTCAAGTACAAGACTTGTTATAATCAGTCAACATGCACAGGTCATTTTACTGTAGTCAGAAGAGTCCAAGACTAAACACAAATAAAAGA